GGGCCACGCGCAGCGTCACATCCAGGGACGGGGGCCTGCGGGGCGGCTCTCCCAGGGGCACACCCCGCCCTCCCATCAGCGTCCCTGACCTTGGCACTGCTCTTGGCCAGCAGCTCGGCTTCCTCGCCCTTCTCGGCGGCACTGGAGGAGACCGAGGCCGCGTTCCCCAGCATCCTCTCCGCCTGCTTGGTCTTCTTCTTGGCGTCCGCCAGGAGCCGGCCCCGGACGACGCCCGCCTTCCGCCTCAGCGCGGCCTGGGCCCGGGGCCCGGGACCCTGCAGCTGCATCCCTGCGAACCGGCCGCGGCCGTCAGGAGGCCCGGCTCAGGGCGTGACCAGCCCCGACCCTCAGACAACACGTGTGGAGGCAGAGATGCCTGCGCGTGAGACCTGCTCAGGGCGCTCATACATGTCAGGGAGGAATGGCAGGGAGGATAAAACAACGCGGAGCAGGTTTCTCCACTGCAGGACTTCTCAGAGCCTCGGAGAGGCTCGGCAAGGCGTGCGTACCTTCCAGGTCGGCCAGCAGGGTCCTCGCCCCCATGACGGTCACCGTGGCCGCCTGGACAGAGGAGGAAGCCCGGGTGAGGGCGGCGCTGGCCTCACGCTGCAGCTGCAAAGGGAAGAGAGAGGCTGGCAGGAGGCGGGCAGGTGCGCTGCCTGCAGGGGGGTCAGCTGGGCACCAAGCCCCACCAGACCAGGTCCCAAAACACCACCTAAACTCTGACAGCCGCCATGTTCACCAGAACACCTGGTCTGTTTCGTTACAGACGTAAACCCTGGAATATCCCTCCCTGCCCCGGAAGCCGCAGGAAAACACCCGAGATGGCGAAGGGCAGGAAGGACAGGCAATCTTTCCAGAGCAACCCTGTGCGTCATACCCCTTTCCCACAGAAAGCAGTGTCCTCCCCCGCCACGAAGCAAGGCCAGATAAAGAATATGGGTTTGGCGTGTCTCAGTGTTTGAGCGCCAACCTATGAACCAGGAGGTCAGGGTTCGAGTCCCGGTCAGGGCACAGGCATGGGTTGCAGGCTCGATCCCCAGGGGGTGGCGTGCGGGAGGCAGCCGGTCCATGATTCTCCTCATCGTTGATGTTTCTGTCTCTCTACCTCTCCCTTCCTCTCTGAAATCAATTTTTTAAAAAAAAGGATTTTAAAAAAAGAATATGAATTTGATGGATGAATGAATTCCCTCTTTCTGGGCTGCACATGCTAACCTGTGTGGCTCAGCAATACATTGCTCCAGAAATATCGGGCAGGTGAACTGGTGAGCGAAAGAACCAATGAGTAGCCAAGACCGGTTTGGCTCAATGGATAGAGCATCGCTTGGGGACTGAAAGGTCCCAGGTTTGATTTCGGTGAAGGGCATGTACCTTGGTTGCGGGCACATCCCCAGTAGGGGGTGTGCAAGAGGCAGCTGATCGATGACTCTCTCTCATCGATGTTTCTAACTCTCTATCCCTCTCTCTTCCACTCTGTAAAAAATCAATAAAATATATTAAAAAAAAAAAGAACCAATGAGTAGAACCCATCCCCATTGTCACTAATGCTGAGTAAGGGTGGTGGGCGTGGCCCTGGGTGCTGCCGTGTGTCTGTCCCTCCTGCCCCCTGCCTGTCTGTCGTCCTGTCTCCTGCCCTGGCTGGCTGTGAGTTCTCTGGAGTTTTGAGGGAGGCCCCGAAGGGATGGAAAGAAGGACTCTGGGTATTGCCCCTCCCTCCCCTGCAGCCCGCTCCCAGAACACCCCTCGGCTGCCCCACCTCCCCCAGTGCCTGCCCCAGGGACACGCCCACCTGCGTGAGGGGCTCCGCCTGGTGCAGCGCGGTGCGGGCGGTCGCCTGGGCGGCCCGGACAGCCTCCGTGACCACGCGCTCCCTGGATGTGACCGTCCTCTCCAGGGCCTGCGCCCTCCGGCTCAGGTCCCGGGTCCGGGAATTCTGAGGCTGCAGGGAGATGGAGGCTCAGGCCGAATGGCAGGGAGGGCCTGGGGCAGATCCTCTCCTGGGTGAGAGGCACCGGGGCAGGGCGGGCGGGAGCAGGGGCAGGGACACAGGGAAGCAGGGGGGCGAGGGCAGGGTCAGCCCTGACTCTGGAGGCCGGATTCGCAGCCTCGGGCCAACCAGCTAACCTCCCGGACCTGCAGCTCCTTCCCAAGGTCCACGGCCACTCAGCTGAGACCTGGGGCTGGTGCACTTGGCACCTGGGACTTTCTGGGTCTAGAGGAGCATCTCTATCTAACAGCTCAGCAGCACCGGGACCAGCGCGCAGGCCAGACGCCTCGCTAGCCGCGTCTTTCTCCACACGTGTCTCTCCCCACATCCCCATCACACACGAGGAGAAGCCAAGACCCCGTAAGCAGCCGGGGCCGGCCCGTCTTGCCCATGGTTCGCCCCAAATGCATGTCTGCAAGCTTAGCTTTTTTTTTTTCCAAGTTCAGTTTCCGAGTTCAGGGATGGCCGGGTTACTGAGAAGATGCAATGGAGCTGATTTACCCAGAGGTGAGGCGTGGGGGGCGGCAGGCACAGTGGGGACGAGGCCAAAACCCTTGGGGGGGGTCACCTGTGCGTTATTGACCAGTCCCCCCACCTCCCCGTGGACATGCAGCCTCGGAAGACCCCACTGGTGAGCTCCACCTGAAGGACAAGTAACCGAGGCCCAGGGAGAGGGGCCAGGCCAAGGTCACGGCCGGAGCGGCAGACGGCCCGAGCTCCCTCCTTCTGCCAGTTGGGCCCTCCCCCAAGCCTCCCCCAAACCATCCTGTGTTTTATGGATGGTTAAAAATAAGCCTCGGCATTGGCCTCTCCCTGGGCTCCGCTGGTCTCCCAGCAGCCACGCTCCCCCTTCTCCCCCCCCACCCCCCGCCCCACCCCGTGCAGAACCCGGAGCACCGCCCCGCTGACCAGTGCTGCGGGGGCGGCCAGCGCGGTCAGGTGCGGGGCTGCGTCGGCGCCAGCGTGCTGCATGGCGGCCAGCACCCTCTCCGCTTCGGGCAGCGCCTCGGCCACAGCTGCACCCAGAGCCTTCGGGGCCGCCTGGACCTCCTGGTACCTGGGAGGAGACAGAGTCAGAGGCCGAGGAACAGGGCGCGCGCTCCCTTCCCCGTCGCCGTCCCGAGCCCCTCCCCCAGCCCTGGGTGTCCGGAGGCCTCTCCTCGCTCCCCCCCCTCGGTGAGTGGGCACAGCAGCTGGCCTCAGACCCTGGCCGCCGCTCTGCCGATCCCGAGTGAATGGAAGCGGCAGTAGAAGGACCGCATTCTTGTCTCTTCATCCACTCGGTTCAGCCTCGCTCCTCTGAAGGGCTCACATGTGTGGCCACTTGAGAACCACACGTTTTGCAAATGTTTGGCTCCTCCGGGTGAATCGCACAGAGGACAACGCCTGGCGCCAGGAAAGGGGCAGCGGCTCAGGCTGGGACTTGGCTCAGCTGTGCCCTTGGGTGACCTTGGACATGGAGACCCCTGGGCTGTATGACCGCTCTGTGGCCTTTTAGTCAGTCCTGAGCTGCTATAATTAACCAATTAGAACAGCTCTCCTGTCCTGTCCAGCTGTCCATACCCACCCCAGCCCGCTCCCCCCACATGGGCACTGCTAGGGTGCATACCCCCCCAGGCTCCCTCCCATCCCTCACCCCTTCTCAGAGAGCAAGAGCGCCCACAGGAGTGGGTCACCCCAGCCATGCTGATTGGCTCAGGGCTGGCTACCTGATCTGAGCTGGACCAATCACATTCTCCCATCTAGGAAGTCCCCTTGGGGCTCAGGCAGATCTTACTGGGTCTCCATGGACCCTTTGACCAGGACAGATATGAAGAGGCCACCCCAGCAGGGAAGTAGAGGCCACGACGGGAGCTGGTGGCGGAGAAGGAGCTGTCTCGGGGACACGGGGTGGGGCTGGGGTGACTGCCTGCGAGAGGGGGTGCTCCTCGTTCAGGTTGTTGTCCTTCTCTCCAGAGGCTGAGCTGCACCCCCACGCATGCCTGGGTCCCTGTGACACCAGCCATCGGGCCCAAGACCCCACATGCCCTGACCCGCCCCATAGCCTGTCGGGGAAAGGAAGCCAACTGCCTCTGGCCAGGCCCCGTCGATTCCAGGAGGCAAACAAACCAAGCCCCCACTCCCTCCCGGGAGGGCTCACCTGTCCTCCAGCTCCCGCTGGGCCTCCAGAGCCTCGCTGCCCTCTACCAGCCTCCAGAGAAGCGTGTAACTGGCGTTGGAGGCACGCAGAGCCCTCTGAGCGGTGGCCGTGATCTTGGCAGCTGTGTCCTTGTGGCTGCATGAAATACAGCAACCATGGCCCGGGCTCACATGGCCTGGGCCCCAACCCACAGCCCCCACGGCCTGGGCCTCCTGCCACCGTGAACACAGCGCCCTCTCTGCCAGGCACGTGACCAAGGCTGACAGGAAGGGGAGGCACACCCTGTCCCTGTGACAGCGTTTATACCGGCTGTCCTGGAAGAATGAGGAACAGGACCCTGTGTCACCCATAAAACCTCACCTCGGACAGGAAGTTATGTGGTCCCCCTAACGAAGGCAGCGTAGAAGGGGGTGGTCAAGAGAGCCTGGGTTTGAATCCCGATTCTCTCGCTTGCAAGCTGTGTGTTCTTTAGCAAGCTGATTAACATTTCTGAATCAGTTTCCCTGTCTGTGAAATGGGTCTAAGATGCCCAGAGTACAGCCAGAGGGGAAGACTGTGGCAGATTCTGGGTTTTTAGGACCTTAAGCTGCTTTAAAAAAAAAAAAAATGTTTTATTGATTTTTTTACAGAGAGGAATGAAGAGTCAGAAACATCAATGAGAGAGAAACATTGATCAGCTGCCTCCTGCACTCCCCCCATTGGGGATGTGCCCACAACCATGGTACATGCCCTTGACTGGAATCGAACCTGGGACCCTTTAGTCTGCAGGCCGACGGCCCATCCACTGAGCCAGACTGGTTAGGGCTTAAGCTGCTTCTCAAAGGCAGTGGGTGACACAGCCCCAGTGTGCCTCGATGGACGACTGGTACAGGGAATGTGTCACAGCCACACGATGGATTGCTTGGTGTGAAAAGGAATGAAGTGCTGGGCGTGCTACACCTGTGCGATCCTTGGAGGCATTCTGCTAACTGGAAGAAACCATAGCCAAGGCCGTAGGTGGTGTGACCCCCCAGGGGAAGTGTGTGGAAAACAGGGAAAGCTATAGAGACAGGAAGTGGGTCGGTGGTTGCCGAGAGGGCACAGGTGTGTTTTGAGAGATGAATAATTTTCAATGATTGTGGGGTGGTTGCCCAGCTCTGTGACTACACTCAGAACCACCGGACGGTGCACTGTACACGGGTGAATGTTAGGGCGCACACGCTATCGGAACAAAGCTGTTATTTTAGAAAAGACAGTGGGTGCTTGGGTGCCTTCGGTCGTCCAAGGTACCTTTCACCCCATCCCTGGCATCTCGGAGGGACTCACTCCCGAGGGTGACATTTCCCCCCACCAGGCAGCTCTGGTCCTGGTCTGACTCCACCTCCTAGTGGGGACCCCTGCGGGCCTGGCCCCCTTAGAAGAAGGGGGGCCGGGCTCCCTCCATAAAGCGTGGGCAGGACCTCACACGTCCCAGAGCCGGGCTCACCTCCGGGCGAGGACACGGGCCTCTGTGGCCAGCTGGCTCCAGTTGGAGGGCTGGCCGGGGACTTCCTGGGGAAGCACCTATAGAGAAGAGGGGAACAGAACTGAGGGCCCATCCCTGCAGGCCCAGGGCCATGCCTGGCTGAGTGACCGGGCAGCACCGGGCAGCACCAGTTCCTTCAGAAGTGCTGCTCGCAGCCAGCATCTGGGGAGCAAAGCCCTCGAACGTGGACGTGCGTCATGACACCGACCACCTGCGGGCGCTCACTGTCTGCCTGGCTCTGCCTGGCTGCTGGCACGTTATCTCCCGGGACCCTGCACCACACCGCCGCCTGCTGGACATTTGGCCGAAGAGGGAACCGAGCCTCCCCAATGGGAAAGGAGGCGTGCCCGGGGTCACCAGGCACCGAGCCCGGGCGCGGGGTGGGGCGGGCACTCCCTCGGGTACCAGAGACGTGAGGACGGTGCCCGCATGCAGGATCTCCTCCTCCGAGGACTCCAGGGCCTCTTCCAGGTCTGCCAGCTGGACGCAGGTCTTGTCAGCTCCAGCTGGGGCACAGCGGGCACTCCTGCTCAGTGTCTGCAGCTGCTCCCGGGCAGCCTTCACGGCTCCCTCAAGGCCCGTCACCTGCACCAGGAAGGCGTCCCGGAACCCTGCAGAAAGCCCACCATCCAGGGGGTCACGGAGCGATTGAGATTTCACACTGAAGCCCCCACCCTCAGGGGACCCCAGCTGTGCCCCCTACTCTTCCCGGGCACAGCTTACTGCTAGCACCAGGCCTGAGCACCACCAGTCAGCTCCCAAGGAAGAGCCTCCCCATTTTACAGATGCAAAGGCTGAGGCCCAGGCACCCAAGGTCCCACACATAGGAAGTCAGCCGCGGACAGGGAACTGGCAGGACCCAGACCTTCTAGGGCAGCGGTAAAGGCGCCCGGAGCCAGCAGGGCGAGTGGCAGTGGGGCTCAGCATGGGCGTGGCAGCACGCAGCTCCCTGTCCTGACATTAGTTTTACTAACCGTGCTCAGCTCGCCTAGGTCTGGCTGCTAAAGGAGCATGGGTATTTACCAACATGACATTTCACAAAATCATCAATTGGCCTTCAGTGCTCCCAGAATTCCAGTGTGTCAGGCCAAACTCCACCTGGCGTTGGTAAGTCTTTTATTCATATCTGCTCACTTGTTTCCTACGCCAGGGGGATACCTGTTCAGCACCTGGGACAGCGCCTCGTGCTTATTGGTGGAGTGAGAGCATCAGAGAGCAGGCTCACTGACTGTCTGGGTGGGGCCGGGGCGGGACCATTGCTACAGAAACGAGGATGATATTAATAGTTACAACTGGGCAGGGGCCTCTGAAGAGAGGTCCATGGGGAGGCAGGACTGCGTTGTGGGAGGAACCCCCAGGGCGGGGGTGTCCGGCAGGCTCTCCCAGCAAGTGGGTTCTCCTGGGGCTGAGCAGGGACCCTCAAAGCTTCTGAGCCCAGAGCAAAGGGGGCACCTGACCAGCCCGCGCTGCCCCTGCCTTCCGGCCTCCCATCAGACCTTGCAGTAGGTGGTGGCCCTGGTAGCTGTCCCCCCGAGGGGCCTCTCCCTGCAGGAAGTCCATTGGTTCCCAGGGCCTTCCGCAGTCAGAGCCCTGCAGCCACCCCTCCATCAGGGTCAGCCTGGCCTTCAGCTTGGCAGCCTGGAGGGGACAGGAAGGAGATGCCGCCTGGACACCGCCCTCCCCGCTCCCCGACTTGTGCCCGGGATGCCCTCCCTGAGGGTCCCTGGGCCCCACAGCTAAGCAGACACTACACCTCTGAGAACCAGCCCTGCCCACCCCATGCTCAGAGCCTCCCCCCACCCGCAGCGCCTGCAGGCATTCAGCCCCCACACCTCTGTCCTGCCGAAGGAGGGGGGCGGGGAGGGGAGCCCGCAGACTTCCTGCCTGGCCTGGGGGATGCCCAGGACTTGGCACAGAGCAGGGGCCCCTGGGAAGTTGCTGGCAGCGGATGCTGAGCAGCGTCTCCGGGCCCCGCTCTCTTAGTCACCGGGACCGCGTGCACTCACAGAGCACTCGCTGGGAGCCAGCCGGGGCGACTGGCAGCCACACACCGGCTCACGCTCACCCTGGAGCCACCCTAAAGGCAGGGGTGGCAGGGCCCCAGCCCCTCCTCAACCCCACGGTCCAAACGGCTCTGAACAACCACACAGCCCCCCATTTCTGATTTGATGGCAAAATCGGGTTCAATAACCGGAACTCATTTGGAAGCAAAACAGAGCCGAAGGAGGCGCCTGTGGGTGTTACTGCCCAGCGGGTGCGCCACTGGGTGTGGTGAGGGGCTGGCCCAGGTGCTGGGGGTGGTACCCAATACTCGGCTTAGGTCATGTTTTCTGCCTATGGTACCATCTCCCAAAAGCGGGCCTCCCTGGTCTCATGTGAGGGGTCCCAGCCAGAATCCACTCCGTGTTAGAGGAGAGGGACACGGAAGCAGGACTGCCAGCTGCCTGGGCACGGGACCACGGATGGGGCTGGGAGGGCCCGAGCTCATGCTCCCGACCCTGCACCACACTGCCGCCTGCTGGACATTCTCCTGGTGCCCAGCACGGGCATCACCCTCCGGACCCGTCCCACCAAGGGCCGTCCGTGGCCTCATTCCCATTGAACTTGAGAAAGCGTGAGACCTGAGTGGTCGGCAAGAAAACGGGTCAGGAGCTGCTGTGCACCGAGGAGCAGGGGAGGGCAGACGTGGGGCTGGCCCAGGTTGGCATGCGCCAGGGGGCTGGGTGGGCACGGGGAGGAGGCAGCTGCTGGCCCTGGAAACCCTGAGAACTGAGCTGGTGCTGACTGGGACGAACAGGAGGCGGGCAGGCCTGGGCAGGGCGGGGCGGGCTCACCTCCGCCTTCACCAGGCTGTAGCACGACGGGCACTCCTGGCACCGCGCCCTGTCGGCCGTGAGGAAGAAGTTGTCCTGGCAGCGGTCACACTTGTAGCCCTCGAAGCCGGGCCTGCACACGCACGTGCTGTTCTCGTGGCATTGGGGCGAGGCAGCGCCCAGCGGGGAGCACCTGCAAGCTGTGGAGGGGTGCGGGGGGAGGACAGGCAGATGGCTCTGAGCGCCCTGAGAACCACAGCCCCTGCAGCCTCACACCTGGTTGCTCAGACCGCCCTGGGCAGCTCAGTACCCTCCTGGGTCCTTCCCCGGAGACCGGGTCAGAGGTCAGAGGTCAGAGGTGATGACTGAGATGCTGGCTTGTTTCCGAGTTCCCGCACCTGAGGAGCTGCCACGCCATCTAACTGCACAGCGAGGAGGCCGAGGCCCGGGAGGGGACCCCCGGGTCGGTCCCCAGGAATGGGCAGCGGCATCTGGGACTCAATTCCCGAACCCCGGGCACCCCTGCTCGCGCACAGTGGGTCTGCGCATCGGCTCAGAGACCCGCCTGGGTCTGCCCTCTCTCTCCTGCTGCGTGGCCGCCTTCCCCGGGGCCCCTTTGCCCAGAAACCCCAGGCCACACACCCCGGGAGCCAGGAGGGACCCGCTCCTTACCCCGGCAGCCCCTGATGGAGAAGCCGAAGAAGCCCCGCTGGCATCGGTCGCAGGCCTGGCCCTCGACGCCCGGGCGGCAGGGGCACTGCCCAGTCTCGGGGTGGCACTGGTTCTCCTGGGAGCCCAGCGGGTGGCACGTACAGCTGTGACCGGGAAGGACCGGGCATGAGTGAGCTCTGGGCCACCCCAGCCCTGGTGCCACTGCTGCTACCGGGAGGGGCCTGCAGGCCTCGCCCTCTGCCCTCCAGGTCCCACCTCCGTGTCGGTCCGTGTCCAACAGCCCCCCCTGAATGGCGACCTGGGGAGCATCCCCCCCCCCCACACACACACACGCCGTGGCTGTGGGGACCAACCCCTACGGGAAGTCAGGATGCGCTCAGCACTGCCCAAGGTGCTGCCATGGCCAAAGTCACAGAGCAACAGTGTCGTCACTGAGAAGGGAATCCGACGCCACGCCGGCCCTGCCCACCAGGACATCCCCGAGGGCTGCTCCTGGCCTGCCTCCTGGGCTGGCAGGGCCGTGAGTCTGACCCCCAAGGGGCTGCCCCTTTGTCCCCCTTCAGGGGAGGACACCGTGTGCCAGCAATGGGCCTGGACACACATTCCCAGCCGGGCCCTCTCTGGGGGCCCCTGGTGCTGCCTTCCCCTGCGGGGGGACCCCGGGGGCCGCGCACCCACAGCCTCCCCACCCACCTCCGGCAGCCCCTCCCGGGCTGGAGGTCGTGGAAGCCCGGGCTGCAGCGGCCGCAGTCCCGTCCGGTCACATGAGGCAGGCAGGCGCACTGGCCGCTCACCGGGTCGCAGGGTCTCCGCGCGCTGACGGAGCCCCCGGGGTGGCAGCTGCAGGCTGGGGTGGGAGCAGGAGAGGGAGTCAGGAAACCGTGGAGGTCGCCTGCCCAGGCTCGGGGCCCAGGAGGTGCAGGGAAGATGGGCAGCCGGGGAGATGGCTCCGCCGCCCAGACTCCCAGGATGCTCGGACAGGAGGCCCATCTCGGCCCATTTGCTGTGTGCCCTGGGAGAAGGCCCTGAGCCTGCCCGGGCCCCGCAGCCTAGAGACAAGGCCAGAGGCTCAGTCCGGGTCACAGGCAGATACGCCCCTGGACCCGCTGTTTGGGACTCGGCCCAGCTCTCCTGGGCCCAGAGAACAAGAGGCCAGGGGAGCGCTGACAGTGCCCCGGGGAGAGGGGCCGGAGCGAGTCTGGGCACACGCTGAGCAGCTCCTGCAGCGCCGTGGAGCCTTCCCCGGGGGGTGGGCACAGGGCCCTCTGAGCGGGCACCGGGCTGCGTGCCAAGCAGGAGGGAGGGGGGAAGCAAGCACGTCGCGGCCAGGAGGCACCGGTGACAGGTGCCGAGGCCATCGGACAGTCCCCTGGCTCCCGCGGACAGTGAGCTGAGCGCTGACAGCCCAGGCAGGAGGAAAAGGCAGGGCAGAGCCGGGCAGACCCCGGGGAGCGTGGAGCAGAGCAAACCCTGTCACTTTCTGCACAAGCGACCGAGGAGGGTGGACCGGCTGGAGCCCCACGGCCTCGGGGCGTGGCTGGGGTAGGGGGACTCACCCACACACTTGTCGGGGGGCCGCGGGGCCAGCGCGCTGCCGTAGAAGCCCTCCTGGCAGCGCTCGCAGCGGGCACCCGTCGTGTTGAACAGGCAGCGCAGGCAGTGGCCGGACAGCGGGTCGCAGTTGCCCACGGCGTTGGGGTCCACGTTCCCGCTGCACTGGCACCGCCGGCAGGGCTGGGGGTCTCCAGAGAGCCCCAGCGGGTCCCCAAAGAAGCCATCGTCGCAGGCCTCACAGCGCCGCCCTGGGGGAGGAAAGGCCTTGGGGGAGCGGCACGCGGAAGGCCAGCCTGCAGGGTCCACGAGGTGAGGGGGCGTGAGCCGAAGCGAGTGCCCTCGTCTCTTTGTGGGCAGAGCATGGGCTCCGGGGTCGCTGACCTCAGGTGGGGCCTCGCTCAGCCGACAGCTGGCTGTGTGGTCTTGGGCATGTCACTGTGCGTCTCTGAACATGGGGTACCTGTCTATAAAGCGGGGCAGGACTCTGAGGTTTGGGGAGATCACTGTGAGCTACTAGCACAGGGCCTGGCACAGGACCGGTCAACAGCAGTGGCTGACATCTACTGCTCCCCATCGCCCATGTCGTCATCACCGTCCTCCTCATCAGCACCTTGGTCATCATCTTCATCTCCACCGCCACCATCATCTTAATCAGTCTCTTCATCCATGAACTACGTCTGGACCAACACCACCGTCCCTCCCTTAGCAGCATCTTCATCACCATCCTGTCCCCTTCATCATCATTTTCTTCATCACCATCCTGTCCCCTTCATCATCATTTTCTTCATCACCATCCTGTCCCCTTCATCATCATATCATCATCATTATCTTCATCACCATCTTGTCCCCCTTCATCATCATTATCATCATCATCTTTGTCACCATCTTGACCATCAGACACTTCACTGTCATCATTTTATCTCAATCATCACCTTTGTCATCATCATCTGCATCGTCATCTTGATCATTGTCTTCTTCCTCATCATCTTTATCGCTGTCTTCCCTGTCACTCTCTGCTTCCTCTTCCCGGTCACCATCCCCTGTGCTGCCGCCACCCTCTTCCTCGTCTCCTCTCCCTCATGTCCCACCTGAGCTGTGGCTGCTTCCTCCTTGCGGCTCCTGCTCCCTTCACCTCTCCTGCTTCCCAGGCCCTGACCTTCCTCTGGAGTGTTTGTTTCCGACTCCTGGCCTGCCCCCTGGGTTTGAACTGGGGTGGCTGCCCCACCTCCCAGCCCTCAGGGTCCCTGGAAGTCTCAGAAAAGGTGGTGCTAGGAGGCTTTTGGAGGGCTGGGACCTGGGAGGTCCACTCTGGACACAGATGGGACATAAAAGGACATCCACGGCCCCTCTTGTGTATGTCTGCAGGAGACTGGACGGCTGGGGACCCACAGCCCTCACAGAACTCGGTCCCTGGGGTGGCGGGACCACAGGCACACGCTCTTCTTGCTGCCTGTATGTTACGTTCCTCTTTACGCGTTTATGGGCGGTTTCAATTGTTACAATGCATATCACTCATTTTATGATTTAATTAACAGCCACAGTCACAGCCACGGTCGCCGTGACAGAGAGTGCCGTGTCCTCAGTGCTCATCGTTCAGATGAAGCCAGGTTAACGTTACTGAGGCAGGCACCTTGAAGATGGAGAGGAGGAATACTAAGACAGAAAAGACAAAAATGGGAGGAGAAGGGTCTGCGGGGAGCTCAGGGGAGAGCTGTGCCTGGCCCGGGGACCTGAAATAGGCGTGAAATAAGAGGGCAGGAGGAGACCGGAGCGGTGATGCAGGCGGAGGCCATTCGCTGGACCTGGGAGAGGACCGCTCCCAGGGCCGAGCCGCTGTGAGGACCCGGAAGGGCTGCGGGGGCGGGAGTAGGGGGTGGGGAAGGTCAGTAAGAAAATACAAAAGAAGAAATAAAAGAAGTTCTGGAGAAGGAAGGTGGTGGTGGTTGGACAGCAATAGGAGAGCAGTTAATGCCACTGAGCTGTCCACTTAAAAAGGCGTAAGCCCGGCTGGTGTCGCTCTGTGGTTGAGCATCGACCTATGAACCAGAAGGTCACGGTTCAAATCCCAGTTAGGGCACACACCCGGGTTGATTCCAAGTAAGGGGCGAGCAGGAGGCAGCCGATCCATCATTCTCTCTCATCATTGATGTTTCTTTTTAAATATATTTTATTGATTTTTTACAGAGAGGAAGAGAGAGGGATAGAGAGTTAGAAACATCGATGAGAGAGAATCATCAATCAGCTGCCTCTTGCACCACCCCTACTGGGGATGTGCCCACAACCAAGGTACATGCCCTAGACCGGAATCGAACCCAGGACCTTTCAGTCCGCAGGCCGACGCTCTATCCACTGAGCCACACCAGTCCCGGCTCATCATTGATGTTTCTAATTCGCTCTCCCTCTCCTCTCCTCTCTCTTTAAAATAAAACCAATAAAAACACTTTTACAAAATGCTTAACATGGCAAATGTTATGCTACACATTTTGCCATAATTTGAAAAAATTAATGGCAGAATAAACCAAAAAGGCCTCGCATTGTACACTGAAGCGGGTGGATCGCAGGGCATGTGAGTGCCATCTCAGCAAAGCTGTCAAAAACGCAGGTGTGCAGGGCGGCTGCGTCCGCCTGGGAGTGAGGGTGGGGAGCCGGCATTTCCTAAAAGCTGAGCGTTCTTTTCCTTTTGTTAATCCTCATCCGAGCATTTTTTTTCTCATTGGTTTTTTTCAGAGAGATTGGAAAGGATGAAGGGAGGGAGGGGAGGAGAGAAAGACTTGAATGTGAGAGAGACATATAGATTGGTTGCTTCCCACACAGGACCTGACCAGGGCCAGGAATTGAACCCACAGCTCAGCTACATGCCTTTGACTGGGAATCAAACCTGAGACATGGGTCTCAGGCAGGTGTTCTAACCACTGAGCTACCAACCAGGGCTAACAGATGCACGTATAATGTGAGGTTTTCTGCCTTGACGCATCTGCCAGGGATCTCAGAAATACAGACTCCTGAGCTGCATCCCTCGCTAAGCCAGGCTCTGTGGGGCCTGGGCCCAGACCTGGGGATTTTCCCAGTCTCACCCGGACATGTTCAAGGGCCCAAGTTCTGCTGGGAACCCACAGCAGCCGGGCCCTGACTAAGGTGCCGTGGGACCCCGTGTCCCCAGAGGTCACGCCTGCCACCCCTAAGCCGGCCCTCCCTCACCTGCCCCACCCCACACCCAGGACCCCGCTCCTGGAGCCCAGGCAGGGGCAGGACAGGGCACGAGCCACTCACCTCTCTGGCCCGGGGGACAGCGGGTGCACACCACCTCCCTGCTCTCCGGGAGGGTCGTGCAGGGCGACCCTCCAGGGCACGGGCAAGGCTGACAGTCATCGGCCCGGCCCGCGAAGGGGTTGCCATAGAAACCTGGCAGGCAGCGCTCACAGGACGGGCCCTCGGTGTGGTGGCTGCACTGGCAGATCCCTGAGGGGCGAGAGAAGCACCTGCTTAGCACTGTCTGAGCCGGGGGGGGGGGGGGGGCGGGCAGCAGGGCCCGGGGATGAAGATTCCAGTCGGGTCCATGCCTATGGTGTGAACCCGGGGTCCTCAGTGTCCTCACCTGCAGAATGGGTACAACAACCTCAACTGGGCTCTGCCCGCCACGGTTCCCACCAGGATCTAATGCAGCCAGAGTGCCTGCACAGTCCCTGGCGCAGAACTGTCATTAGTTATCATTCTCGTGTTCTGTTCCCACATCTCTGCCCCGACCAGCAGGCAGCGCCGCCAACCCCTCGCCCGTTTCCCCTTCCCTTCCTCCGTTTCCTCCTAATGGCAGGGCCCAGCAGGACAGGAACAGACCCAGGATTCTGGGGGCGACACGAGGCTCCGTGTATGGGGTCTCTGGGTTCTCCATGTATGGGGTCACAGGTTTCTGGGGGGGGTGTGATTCTACAACCCCCCCTCCAGCCCAGGGCACCTGGAGCTGCTCAGAGTGGGGGACTCTGGGGACAGAGGCCCCGGCCAGGGACTGGGTCAGGAGCCTGATTGAGAAGACAGACTGCCACAGGGGAAAGGGAACCGGGTGGAGGTGGGGGGAGGGGGTTTAAGGGGAACCATCACGCCTGCCCTGCTCTCCACTGGTCCCTGCCCCGGCGCAGCACGCACACGCTCATGTCTCCTCCTTCTGTCCAGGGAGCGTAGCAATGGCCCCGCCCACTGGACACATGAGCGGGGTGTGGCATGGCCAGGGGATCTGAGGGATGACAGATGGGCCCCATCTCACGAGTGGGCTCTGCTTCCTCGGGAGGGCCTGCCTGGGGCATTGCAGGGTAGGATTTCGAGCCCCCCATCTGGGCTCGACTGGTGATGCCTGCCACGGGCACAAGCCGGGCGGAGGCGCCTATGCTGCCTGTGCGTCCTCCTGTCCAGTCTGCTGGTTCCCAGGCGCCTGTGCTGTCAGCTCCCAATGGGGCCTGCGGACAGCTGAGACCCGCCTGCTCCCGGACAGCAGAGGGCGCTGACCCCCCCCCCCCCCCCCGTGTGAGAGGCCTGGGCCAGCCCCGTCCCGCACCCCCTGCCCAGAGCCCTCCAGGGAGGTCCTTCTGTTTCCTCTCTGGTCGGTGGGGAGGAACCGCAGGCAGTGAACTTGTGGGAGGAGCAGCCCTGCCACCTGCTGGCCGTGGGGCCTCTCTGCGCTTTAGGCCCCTCACCGGTAGAGGTGGCGGGAATGGTCCCGCACGCCTGGGGGAATCTTGCAGGACTCAGTGATGTGCGTGGAGGACCTCGGAGACTCACTTGATTGGCACTGGGTTCAGAGGGCACTGGCACAAGCCCACGGCCGACCCCGTTCTGGGGCAGCCCCGATGGGGGGCGGGACACTCACCGGTGTCGGGGTCGCAGGTGCCGTGCTGGTTGCAGGTGCAGGGGACGCAGCTGGCATAGGGGCCCCCCAGGGGTGTCTCCCTCTTGTATGCCGGGGCACAGGCTTCACAGAACTGGCCCACGTACCCCCTGGGGCAGGAGCACGTCTCCACCCAGGAGGCCGGGGGCGAGAGGCCCCGCTGGGCCGACAGGAGCCGCACCTCACTCAGGAGCACTTGGCCTGGGAGCAAGGCAGGGGAAGGGGAACACGGGGGAGGAGGAGAGGAGAGGAGAGGAGAGGAGAGAGAGAGAAAGAGAGAGAGAGAGAGAGGAATGTTTCTCCCAAACCTTTCTATTCACATGTGGCCCACGTATACAGAAGGACCGGAGAGATGTGCCCAGAACGCTATCCGTGGGAAGGGGGTTCGGGGTTCGGGACAGGTGGTCGGAGGGTCCGTATGTCCACCTGCCCCTCCAGTTCGCCCCCAGCACAGCACGGGCTGGCCAGGTGGAGCCTGTGAGCATCGGTGACTGAGGGGAGGGAGTGACGGGAGCACTGGGCGCTGCTGGAGAGGGGAACATGGACTTCCTGCAGGAGCCTCAGCGAGGGGCCTGAGTGGCCTGGGAGCAGGGCAGCCATGGGGGTCCTGGGGGTGAAGGCACGCCAACCACAGCTGCAAAGAGGAGGAACTGGACAGGCTGGTCCCACCCCCAAGCCTCGGACTCAGAGGGCAGGGAGGGCTGGCCTCGAAGGAGCCCATCGGCCCCGGAGCCAGTCTGGGGGTTCTGTCACGTGGTGGGCTCCTGCAGGGGGACCCTGCCACCCGGGCTGGCACCAGAGGCTCGTGGCTGCCTCACTGGCCAGGCACCTGTCGCCCTGGCCCCTGCCCCTGCCCTCAGCACCCGGCTGCCCCCTGGTTACACGGCTTTGGGCAAGGTCCCCGCCTCCCGGGGCCTCAGGCGCCTTGGTGGTAAAACGGGACAGTAACCGTCTGCCTGAGGCTGCCAGCAGGGAGCCGGACTCACTGACCAGATGGGCTGGGGCGGGTCCGCAGGCGCAGGGCGGTCAGGTTGGCGAGCAGCCGCTGGAAGTGGAAGGCGGGCAGTGGGGGGTCGGCGTCCTCCCAGGTCTCCTGCAGCCTGGGGGGGAGGGGGAGCCAGACCCTGAGGCAGGCTGGGGAGGGCCCCCTGACCCCCGGCCCCTCTCGGGACGGAGCGGGACACTCACTGGAACGTGAGCTGCACCTCCCCGGGCCGCGCGGCGTCAGACGGGCGGGAGGGGGGCAGCGTCAGGGCCAGGCCGGCGCCCTCCAGCCTCAGCTGCACGGGAGGTGGGGAGCCCCCGGGAGGGACCCGGAAGGTCAGGGTGAGGGGCTGCCCGTAGCTGAACCGCTGGTCGCCCAGGAACTTGGCTGAGGACGAGAGAAGGCTGTGACCGTCTGCACGTAATGAGCCTGGTTTCAACGGCGGCTGCTTTCCTGGCAACCCACCCCCCAGACGAGACAGAAGGACGGCCAGCAGGAACGCAGGCGCCTGTGCGGCTGGTGCTCAGGGCTCGGCCACACCCTGGGCTAGTGCCCTGCGTCCCTCCTGTGAGGAGGTCCCTGTCCTGACCTCCGGCTGTCAGGTCTGACCGGGGGTCTCGCAGGTGAGCCCGTGGGACGGGAGTGAGTGGGGAGCAGAGGACACACCAGCGGTGCCTGCCGCCGCCTTAGGCAGAGCCACGCGGACCACACGCGTCAGACGGAGTGAGACTCAGCGAGGACCGGGGATGCGTGTCACGTGGGGGGCTGAGCAGGTGCCGACGGCCCCGGAGGCCACGCTTCCCTCGGGAGTCAGAGGGCGCTCCCAGCGGGAAGAGGCGGTGGCGTCGCACACACACAGAGGGCACACGAGGGCCAGGGCCCCGCTGCCTCCTCCCCCGGCCATCGCTCCGGGTGAGCTGAGGCTGGGGTCAAGGAAGGACAGGGGTGAGGGTTCAAAACAACCTGGAACTTGTTGCTCCTGCAGGAATCCCACGGCTCTGGCGTGGGCGCAGTGCTGGGGCTGGGGGCTGGGGGGCTGATGGGAAGAGCGCGGGGACTGCCTGGGGTGTGACCGTGGCCCGACGGAGCCCTGGGAGGCATCGCTGTGACCGGAAGCGGGGGCTCCAGCCGCTGCCCCGCCGCAGGGCGTGTGGTCGGCAGAAAACGACCCTCAGGATGTCTGGGTCGCCATCCTCCCCCCACCCACCGTGAACGCGTTACGCTGCTCGGCTGGGGGTGCGCTGGGGGAGGTGCAATTAGGTGGCAGGTGGAAGTCAGGCTGTTCCTCAGAGACCTGACAGCAGAGACTCCCAGCTGGGCCCCACGTGGCCACAGGTCCTTAAAGATGGAAGAGGAAGGCGGCGGGGTTGGTGTGAGAGGGACGGGAAAGGAGGAAGCAGAGGCCGCCAAGGAGCACAGTGAGTGAGAAGCCGGAGGCGGGAGCGGATTCCCTCTGGGGCCTCTGGGCAGCGGGTCGTCCCACACCCCGATGTCAGCCCAGAGGGACCCCCAGATGCGCTCTGGGCCCCCGAGAGGCAGGTTGTGCTGTTCCCAGCGGCTGCGCCGGTGGCCGTGTCCACGTGGCGGCAGGAAGCACGCCCGGCGGCCCGCGGCCTGTGGTACCTGGTGCTGTGAACTCCTCCTCCTCCTCGGGGTGCAGGGGGAGCCCCCTGGGGCTCCATCGTGCGGGCCGCTCCGGGTCCCCCGTGCCGCCGGCCCGCCAGCCATCGGCTCCTGGAGGCAGCACACACACAGGCCCCGTGAGAGCCGGAGGGAGGCCTCCGCCTCGAGGCTCCCGGGCCCTCAGGGCGCCGCCCGGAGGCCTGTGCTCCGGGAGGCAGTGCCGGGACAGGCCCGTGGCTCCCCTCCCCTCCCGGAGCCAGGGCAGCTCTTAGCCGGGAGGCAGCCCCAGAAGCAGCTAGAAAGCCCAGGGACTGGCCCCGTCTGGGGTGTGGTCAGACCTGTGCTGCCCTCCGTGGGCTTTGAGCAAACACAAAGGCACAGCCCGCCTGCCCCGACCTGGGGGGCTGGGACTCACAGACCTCCTGGCCCGGCCGCACGGCCCCTGTCCTTCCCGGGGCCTGTCAGGGGCCCTGCGCCCGGGAGGCCGCCTGGCTAGGAAGCAGTCAGCGTGAATGGGAACCAGCCTTCGGCCCTGGCCCGGTCCAGCCCACACTCGCCCTGGTGACGGCAGTGTAGCCATCACACCACGCAGTCTAGCAATGAGCAAGTGGGGGGGCAGGGAGGGGAGTGGTGGAGGCCCAACATCTGGGGCCCCTGCAGGTGAGGAGGGAGGGATGAAGAAAGGGAGAGAAGTCAGAAAGGAGAGGCCCCGGCCTCCTCGGTCCCAGACTAGGTTCTGCTCCTCCCTGGCTGTGTGACCCTGGGCAAGTGGCTGAACCTCTCTGACGTCGTTTCCTCCTCTGCGAATTGGGGGCAGTGGCGTACTGTGGTCCCGGCAGCATTCCCAGCATTTGTATGAATTCCCTGGGAGATCCCTGAGACTCCGAGGAGGTCCCTGGGGTCAAACTGCCTTCTTACTGACACTGAGATGCGTGTGTATTCTCCGTTCTCTCTCTCACAAGCAGAGTGGAGTTTTCCAGAAGCCACCAGGCGTGTGACATCTCAACAGACACTGGCAGAAGCCGTGGTGAGAACCAGCCAACTTCTGTGAAGCCAGACGGGAGGGCGATGCGCAGAGATGGAGGACAAGGGGCGTTAGTCTTTTACAAAGTTACTTCTGCCCTGGCCGATGTTGCTCAGTGGGCAGAGCATCGGCCTGTGGACTGAAGGGTCCCAGGTTTAATTCCATTCAAGGGCGCATGCCTGGGTTGCAGGCTCGATCCCCAGTAGGGGGTGTGCAAGAGGCCGAGCAATGATTCTCTCTCATCACTGATGTTTCTATCTCCCTCCCCTTCCTCTCTGAAATCAATAAAAGTATATTTTTTAAAAATTTCCCAGGTGGATGCCATTTTTTTATTCTATGCTTTTTATTATTATTTTATTAGTTTTTATTAATATCTATTATTAAAAACTATCATTGTTTTTAGTAATAGATATTTTCAAATCACTGCTTTAATTTCTAACAGAGAAAGTATCCACACACACACAACCCACATCAAAGTGCTTTGAGGGCCTCAATAATGTTCAAGAGCGTAAAGGAGTTCAGAGGTCAAAAAGGTTGGGAACTTCTGTCCGAGGGTGATGGTGAGGTAAGGAGAGGAAACCAGGGCCTCACCCAAAGTGAGGGCAGAGGGTGACTGTTCTCAGGAGCTGTACCAGGGGTCCCGGCCGAGGCTCACAGCCTACACTCCCGCGCCCCATTCTAAGCCCCTCTCTGTCCTACTTTCTGCGCGGCGTCCAGCAGAGGGCGCACTGCCCCCACACCTAGGGTGCCCCGGAGCCAGTGCCTGAGTTTGTCTCTGGCAGACACTCTCCTCCTCCCTGCAGGAGATGTAGGTCGTCCCCGCCCCCCTCTCCCTGAACCCCACCCCGGGGCCCTCACACGGGAGGCGGGGGGGTGGAGGGGCACAGCAGGAGTCCATGCAGGCGGGAATTAGTGCAGAGCTCAGAGCTCTGACACTTTCCTGCTCCTAAGATGCCCCTGTGCCACCTGGAGTTGGGGACCTCGGCCTCCATGGCACCCCTGGACCCTGGGCCCTGGGCCCAGAGAGAACACCTCACAGCGGCTGAGAGACAAACTCAGACGCTGGCAAACCCTGGTGCCCACACCTAGGTCCCGTTAACTCCCTTTTCTGGGCCTCAGGGGCCTCATCTGCAGAACGGGAGTCCGTGCGGTTCCCTGCCTGTAGAGGGCGCCCTGCCTGGCATACAGCAGGCACTCAGGCAACGCAGGCAAGGAGCTTGAGCCAAACCCCCAGCACTAGCTGCATCAAGGCAGGCCAAACTTGACCTTGAGTGATTGGAAATTCCCCCAAGGGATCCGAAGGCTGCCTTAGGCCCCACCTTGTCCACAGGATAAAGGATGCGGGAGGCTGAGGGAAAGGCAGGGCCGAGAGGGAGCGGAGAGGTGCGGGGAGGCACAGGTGGGCACAGAGGGACCATCTTGCATGGCTGGCATGGGTGCCTGTGGGGGGGTCTGGGCTGGGGCAGAGGCTGCCTCCCGTTCCTCTCCGCCCTCCCACCACTGATGGATCGCCCAGAGCAGGGCGGCCACCCCTCCCCCGGGCTGGGAGAGGCCTCGGCAGCGGCTCTGGGGCTCCGCTTACCCAGGCAGAAGTCGGAGAGGACGTGGTGGGCCCGGAAGCCGGCGGCGGCCGCACACACCTTGGAGTGGCCGTAGCAGAAGCAGCTGCTGCAGCCGGCTGGGTTGTGAAGCTGGAGGTTAAAGGTCCCGGGGCGACATCTGAAATGGAAGAAGGCCACGCCCACGGGGCCGAGTGAATGCGAGGCTGAGGGTCCCAGCTGGGCCCGTGCCAGTCCAGAACCCCGGGAGATGTGAACACATCCTTTCCCAGGCTGCCGGGAGGTTTGCAGAGCTGGCACAGCGACCGGGGCCTCCTGCCCCAGCTTCCCCCGTGGCCGCGCCCGACACCCCCACGGGACACCGATCACGGCCGGGGTCCCCACCGGCTCCCGTTCCTGGCGAAAGTCCAGGCTGAACCGGGATGCGCCCCTTTCCCCACAAATGTCTTTCCTGCTCCCACATTCCATCGGGACACAGCGAAGCCCTTAGCCTAAGGTGACCAGACGTCTCTCTTTTGGCGGGACAGTCCCGATTTTTAACAATTTGTTCCGCGTCCCAAGTTCAGTTCTGGTCAAGGGCACATGCTGGAGCTGTGGGCTGGGGGCATGCAGGTGGCAGCTGATCAGTGATTCTCTCTCATCACTGATGTGTCTCTCTCTCTCTCCCCCTCTCCCTTCCTCTCTGAAATCAATAAAAATATATTTAAGAAGATAATAATTGGGAATTCCGAAGGGAAGATGCGACCCTTGGTCCTTGTCTTTATTGACTCGTCTCTGTGTACCGAGCGGACGGGGTGTTTGTTTTGCCTCCGGTTGGAACCCGGCACCACGGGGGTTCTGTGGCTCCGATGGTTCCAGCCCGGGAGTGCCTTCAGGCCTCAGGACACAGGCTGGGTTTTGTTTTTGTTTTTGTGTTTTTCTTGGTTGTTTTCTAGACCTGTGTTTGTTTTTAAGCACTTTTTTATTTTAAAAAAAAATCTGTTTTTCTTTCCGGGCGCTACAGGACACGCGAGTTCAGCCCCGAAGCAGCCGCTTCTCCCGGAGCCTGAGAGGTGGGGACACACACAGGCCTGGTCTGCAGCCCCGGACAGCCCACTCTGATTCTTGAGAAGCTGCCTCCCCAACGCCCGCAGGCTCCCAGCACAAGCTGGAGGGCTCCCATCCCTCAAAGGGGCTGGCGGCTCAGAGCGGGGACCTGCCCAGGGTGCGGGCGGAGGGCCAGAGCCAGGAGACCCTGGTGGCCTGTGGTGCCCTGGCTCCATGCTGCCTCCTCACTTAAGGGGTCTTGGTGGGAGGGGTGGTAGTGCTCCATTAGTGATGTCTGCCCTGGTGTGAGATGGGAGGGTGTGTGTGGTAGTGCTCCATTAGTGATGTCTGCCCTGAATGTGGGATGGGAGGGTGTGGCGGTGCTCCATTAGTGATGTCTGCCCTGGTGTGCAATGGGAGGGCTATGGTACGGGTGTCATATATTTGCTGTCCCTGGATTAGATGATCTCTCCTATCCTTTCCAGCCAGTTCTTTTCAGGATTATGAACTAGAAACATAAAGATTATTTTCAAGGCTATGAACCATCCGTGGTGCTGGGCCACGGCATACACAGAGCAATAAAACCTTCCGATAATGCCTGGGTGGCAGGTGCATGGGCTCCAGGAAGGGTGCCAGGTGGGGGGCTGCCTGAGTCTGCGAGGACCATGCCCCTGCTCCTCCCGCCACCCAGCCCCGCGGCCACTCCTCACAGGCTGATTACCGGACACGCTCTCCTACCTGTCACACAGGCCGCCTTCCACGTTCTCTCTGCAGGGGCAGCGCCCGCTGCGAGGGTCACAGGTGCCCCGGCTGCCGGCGGGATGGCAGGTGCAGGGTCTGCCAAGGGGACGGGACGTGGGGAAAGGTGAGCGGCTCCAGAACAGGAACAGCCCCTCCTCCTGGGAAGGAGCCCCCACCCTTCCCTATTCCTGAGAGGACCGGAGGCAGACGGGCCCCTGAGCCTGCGTCCCCGGCTCCACCACTCCCACCTCGCCAAGGAGTGACCCCTCCGCTCACCTGAGTGGCAACCCGTCTGCCTACCCACCACTCACCCGTCCATCCAGTCACCCGTCCACTCACTCATCCATCTGTGCACACTCCCACCCACCTGTCCATGTACCACCCACCCACCCACCTCCATGCACCTTCCATCCAACCACCCATCTAGTCCCAACGCCCCCCACGTGCCCTGCTGGGCCGCCCGCACCCACGGCGCCGCCCCCTCACCTGCAGCCGCCCTCGCTGAGCGAGTGGAACCCGGGCCGGCAGCGGTCACACTTCCAGCCCGTCACGGTGGCCTTGCAGGGGCAGGTGCCCGAGTCGTCGCACTGCAGGCGCAGGGAGCCTGGGGGCGGGGAGGGCACAGGCCGTCAGGGGCCGGAACGGGGTGAGGCTGGCGGCAGGGGCGGCAGCGCTCACTCACCGGCCGGGTGGCAGTCGCAGGGCTGGCAGGGCGCCTGGGGCTTCCAGCGGTAGAAGTTCTCCCGGCAGAGCTGGCAGTGCGGCCCGGCCGTGTGGTCCCGGCAGTGCAGGCAGCGGCCGCCATGGCCTGTGCTGCGGAAAAGCTCCGGGTCGAACGTGCACTGGTCTGAGTGGCCGCTGCAGTCGCAGGCTGTGGGCGGGAGGGGCGGGTGTCAGCAGCCGTGGTGTGTGGCGGGACAGGAGTCCGTGCCAATCAGCCTCCTTCTGTGGAGTGAGCGGGCAGCTTGGGAAAGGCCAAAGATGGAGTTCAGGCCCGGCTTGATCAAGCATATGGAGACCGATGGATCGATCTTCCAAAACAGGGTACTTTTATGAGCAGAGGGGGTACCGTTAATAAATACACCAAAACGCAGGCCCCTCGGCGGCCATCGAGGAGGGACAGCCACCTGGTCACGAGTCACAGACAGGCCACCTCGGAGCAGCGGTGTGGCTCGCTGCAGGGTCTGTGTGGACCTGTGTGGACCTGCCCCCCGGGGATCATGGGGCAGCTCAGAAGCATGGAGAGTCCACGCCGCCCTTCACGCACTCCCTGATTCATTTAAAACACCCACGTGCTAAGGACGGGCTCTGTGACGGCTCCTGTGGGGAGCCCAGGGCGGGAGCCGGCGAGCAGAACATCCCCACTCCCGCCCGCACACCACACACGGAGCGGGGCCAGATGCAGCCGCCCGAGGACACCCTGCAGGGGGAGGCGCGGGGAGTGAGGAGGGACCCTACAGCTGTGCTGGGGGAGGGGGCAAGCCTCCTCGGAGGGAGTCACAGCTGCAGAGGCATCTGAGGGGTGAGCAGGAAGGAGCTGGCGGTGCAGAAGGGGACAGGAGGGAGGGGAGAGTCCCGGGCAGGAGATGGGAGCAGAGGATACCCCGTGGAAGCAGAGAAGTAACATTCCCCCAGAATCTGGCAGGGGGCGGGCGTGTCCTGTGATGGCAGGGAGAGGGTGGGGATGCGGTGCAGGGTGACGGGACAGGGCAGGGTGCAGGGCCAGCCCAGAGGCCGTGGAGGGGGGCTGTGGGGGGTTAGGCAGGTGAAGGCAATCACACTGGCACTTTGGAGAGCCCCCAGGGCTGCAGGCGGGAAGCCGGGCCAGCAGGGAGGGGGGCTTCGGCGCCCAGGGAGGGGGAGGGGGCACTGGCTGCAGAGAGGGACAGGGAGGGGCAGGAGGGATGGGACAAGGCCGGATTCGGGGCTCAGGGGCTGCTGGGACTGGGGGCGGCGGGGGGTCAGGCACGAAGCCCCGTTTCCAGGCTGGTGACTGGGAGGACAGAGATGTGACCATGGGGGTGAGGACGTGGCCGGAGAAGCATCTGGCCCTGTGTCCTCACCATGGAGACGGCTCCCGGCTCGGAACGTGTGAGCCGGTCAGCGCGGCCTCCTTGGCTGCGGGAGGACTCCCTGGTGGAGGCGGGCCAGCGAGGGCAGCAGGAACCCATTAGGGTCCTGCGGACAGCAACCCATCCCACGGAACAGGCTGTGCCTGCCCTGTCCTGGCTCCAGCAGCCAGTGACCCAGCCCCAGAAGACAGAGCACCCAAACTCCCGCCAGCAGCAGCCAAGCCAGCTGGGAGCGGTGCCGGGGACACCGCTGTGCCCCGGAGCCCGAGGCACCCAGACTCTGGGGAGACAGGCTGGGCACCGGGCTGGCAGGAGGGGGTTGGGCAGCCCCATGGCCCGGAGAGGGGCAGACAGCCCCGTCCTCTCCACGTGTGGTCCAGCCACATCACAGGGCAGGAACAGGGGGGGCGGCCGGGGCTGGGGCAGGCTGGGTGGCAGCCCGGCACCCCTGGGACCGGGGGGCCTGGCTTTCATTAGAGCTGCGGTTGCAGCCGTTTAAACAATAGAATAAGTTGGGCCCCCCCTTTGCCCCCCACAACAAGCACCTCTGCTGGGGGCCTGGGTCCGGGGGAGCAGCTGTGGGGGGAACAGGCCCCCCCCGCCCCCTTCGGCGCCCCTCCCCCTGCAGAGGCCCGGGCTGAGCCCACCCAGGAGCAGCCCCACAGCCGGTCCCGCCCGGGGAGCCCGTCTCCCGCCCGCACCCGGGCCCGAAGCCCGGACACTCACGCAGACACTCGTTGGCGGCCTCGGCCGTGCCCCGCGCCCACGGGCGGTCCTGGAAGAAGGGCAGGCAGCGCTCGCAGTCCGCGCCCGTGGTGTTGTGCTGGCAGCGGCACACCAGCCGGCCCTCCGCGTCCGGGCCGCACTCGCTGGCGTGCCCGTTGCACTTGCACCTGGGGGAGGGCGGGGAGGGCGGGAGGGCGGGGGCTCAGCACGGAGCATGGATGGGGAGGACGGGGAAGGACCTGGGGGAGGATGGGGAGGACGGGGAAGGACCTGGGGGAGGATGGGGAGGACGGGGAAGGACCTGGGGAGGACGGGGAAGGACCTGGGGGAGGACGGGGAGGACGGGGGAAGGACCTGGGGAGGACGGAGAGGACGGGGGAAGGACCTGGGGGAGGGCGGGGAGGGTGGAAGGGCGGGGGCTCAGCAGGGAGCGTGGACAGGGAGGACGGGGGAAGGACCTGGGGAGGACGGAGAGGACGGGGGAAGGACCTGGGGAGGACATGGAGGACAGGGGGGAAGGACCTGGGGGAGGGCGGGGAGGGTGGAAGGGCGGGGGCTCAGCAGGGAGCGTGGACAGGGAGGACGGGGGAAGGACCTGGGGAGGACGGAGAGGACGGGGGAAGGACCTGGGGGAGGACGGGGAGGGCCGGGGCTCAGCACGGAGCGTGGACAGGGAGGACGGGGGAAGGACCTGGGGAGGACGGAGAGGACGGGGGAAGGACCTGGGGAGGACATGGAGGACAGGGGGGAAGGACCTGGGGGAGGATGGGGAGGGCGGGAGGGCGGGGGCTCAGCACGGAGCATGGACAGGGAGGACGGGGGAAGGACCTGGGGAGGACGGAGAGGACGGGGGAAGGACCTGGGGAGGACGGAGAGGACGGGGGAAGGACCTGGGGAGGACATGGAGGACAGGGGGGAAGGACCTGGGGGAGGATGGGGAGGCGGGGGCTCAGCACTGGGAGGGTGCCACGTGGGCGGCCCCACGGGGTTGGCGGAGGAGGGATTCCTCCCCGAAGCCCTGTGTTCCGGGGGGCCCACGGCTATGGCTCAATGACGAGCTTTAATGAGCACCTACTATGTGCACAGACAGCCGGTTCTGAGCTCTGTGGACACACAATCCCATGCTCCAGCCCATTTCACAGGTGGAGGGACTGAGGCACGGAGGGGCTGCCCAAGGCCACAGGAAGTGATGGGGGCATCTGGGAGGCTATCTCTGCAGGCCTCTGCCCAGGAGGCGCCCCCAGGGGCCGAGAGAGGCTGGGGCTGAGGCGGGCCAGCTCACAGGCGGCGCGGGGGGTGGGGGGCCCCCCGTGCACTTCTCCTTTGACTCCGTTCCTTGCAGAGGACACCCCCGCCCCCCATCTCAGCTCAAGTCCCCAGGGAGCCTGTGCCCTGGAGGGCAGCCCTGGCCTCCAGCCTCACTCCCCCCGGGTCAGGAGGCAGCTGGAACGGGCAGGCGCAGAGAGGGGCTCCGGGGGCCATGCCCGGGGGGCTGTCCGAGCGGCCAAACCAAGCTGCTCAGAGGACGGCCGTGGCGTCCAGCTCCCGAGCCAGGCCTCCCTGGAGCCCCGCTGTGTGGGAGGGACTGTGATTATCCCCATTTCACAGATGGGCAAACGGAGGCTCCGGCCACCAGGTGACGGATGCGGAGAGGCAGAGCTAGACAACGAACCCGGTTCTCCTACTTTGCACGGACCCCGAGCCCCTGGCCAGCTCGGTGGCTCCCATAAGCTGTGTCCCGCACCCAGCCCCCGAGGGCAGTGAAGAGGCCTGACCGTGGCCAGCAGCCATGGTGCTCTCTCTGCTTCCGGGAGGGCGCCGGGCACGGCCTCCTGGCCAGGCCTCCCCGGGCGCCCAGGTGGGCAGGGAGCACCGGGGCCTCTGGCGGAGGTGAGGGGGCACCGGGCCGTCTTGGTGTCCCCAGAGCTTGCTGGGAGCGCCTCCCTTCCCCTGGAAGCGGTGAACCGTGTGGGCCGCTGTGGGCGGACACGGGCCGGGGCCACCTGCCCGGCCAGCTGCCGGCTGGAGGTGGTCGGCCCGGCAGCTGGCGCCGGATGTGCCCTGGGCCAAAGCCCCTGACGGCGGGCTGCAGCCCACGCCGCCCCACCCTGGAGAACCCCTCCTCCCGGTCTGACCTGAATCCAGGGGGGGCAGGGGGAGGGGGCGGAGGGGCCCTCTCAGACACCCCTTTCTCTTTCCCCTCAGGCCCCAGCCTTTGCTGAGAGGCTGACACACTGAGTGCAGGCAGCTGGCCCCTGTCCCTCCCTGGCTCCCCGCCCCCCCACAGCCTCCCTGCCCCAGGGAGCCCCTGCTCCCTGCCCCGCGGCCCTCACTCCCACGTTGAGCTGACTTCCTGTCCCAAATAGTTTTCGGATCCCCACGCTTTCCCCCGCCCCAACGCCACCCCCCGACCGCCACCCCCGACCGCCCCCCACGCCCGCCCCCCCCGACCGCCCCCCCCGACCGCCCCCCCCGACCGCCCCCCCCGACCGCCGCCCCCCCCGACCGCCCCCCCCCGACCGCCACCCCCGACCGCCACCCCCCCCCGACCGCCCCCCCGACCGCCCCCCCGACCGCCCCCCCCGACCGCCGCCCCCCCCGACCGCCCCCCCCGACCGCCCCCGCCCCGACCGCCACCCCCACGACCGCCACCACCCCCCCGACCGCCCCCCCCGACCGCCGCCCCCACGACCGCCACCACCCCCCCCCCGACCGCCCCCCCGACCGCCACCCCCCCCAGACCGCCACCTCCACGACCGCCCCCCCCACGACCGCCACCCCCGACCGCCGCCCCCCCCACCGCTGCCCCCAACCGCCACCCTCCCGACCACCCCCCCACCCCCCCTCAACCGCCCCCCCCATGACTGCCACCTAGTATGCCGGCTCTCTCCTCTCCTTCCCCACGCGGCTGCCAGGTGTTGGGGCATTTAAAAAATCCAGCCCTGCCCAGCCAGCTCAGTGGTTGAGCGTTGGCTTATGAACCAGGAGGTCTGGGTTCGATTCCCGGTCAGCACACAAGCCCGGGTCTTGGGCTCGATCCCCAGTGCGGGGCGTGCAGGAGGCACTGATCCATGTTTCTCTCTCATCAAGGATGTTTCTATCTCCCTCTCCCTCTCCCTTCCTCTCTGAAATCAATTAAAAATATATTTAAAAGTAAAAAATACATAAAAATCCAACGCTATTACTCTCCTGGGCTTCCCTTTAACAGCTCCCCTCTGGCCCAGCCGTGTAGCTCAGTGGTTGGGCATCGACCTATGAACCAGGAGGTCGCATGCCCGGGTTGCAGGCTCGACCCCCAGTGTGGGGTGTGCACAAGGCAGCTGATCAGTGATTCTCTCTCATCATTGATGTTTCCATCCCTCCCTCCCTTCTCCCTGCCTCTCTGGAAACGATAAAAATATATGCATTAAAAACACCAAAAAGCCCCCACCACTGCCCTGACTGTGGGGTAAAAATAACCCCACTGTGGTCCTGAGAACCTCCAGCCGCCCCCGCGCCCTCCGTCCCAGCCCCGGCCTTCTCCTGGGTCCTCAATCCCAGTGTGGTCCAGGCCGGGGGTCCCCTGGCCCTGCACCCCCTGTCAGGGCCTCCGTCTTGTCATCCTGGGGGGCTGCCGCCCGATGACTGGCTGTCACCCTGAGACTGAAGCAGGAACCGTCCGTCTTCCTCGCTATTTCCCAGGAGGAACCCGACAAGCTTTATGCTGAAGATCTTCGTGTCTCCCGGCGCCTCTGCCCGCCTTGCACACCTGGAACCGCCTTGCACACCTAGAACGGACTTGCACACCCAGAACTGCCTTGCACACCTGGGACCGACTTGCACACCTGGGACCGCCTTGCACACCCAGAACCACCTTGCACACCCGGACCGCCTTGCACACCAGAGCACGTTTAGACCGCCCGGATGCCAGTCCCTGCTCCTGGGGAGGGAGCTGCTTAAACAACCACCGATGTTGCAGAGGGCGGTGGGCCAGGACCGGCCGACCGCACAGCCTCACGCCCCACGTGGAACGGCGCCCTTCCCTGGTGCTGGGCTGGCCGCGGGGCCTGGGAGGGGCCCAAACCGAGGAGCCCCGAAGTCTCATTAAACGATTGAACAGCAGGGAGCCGGCTGGGCCCAGCTGCCTGGAGCCCTGGGAGGCAGTGGGGGGAGAGGGGGAAAAAGACTGGAAAAAGTCAGGGGCTGGGAAGGAAGGGAAGCCCCGCACCCCGTGCCTGCTCCTGCCACCAGCCACCAGCCACACGCATAGCACAGCGCTCAGGCGGCTGCCGTGTGAGGGCATGTTAGCCGGGACCTCGGAGCGCTGTGTGCTGTGAACATGCTACTTCATGGCAGGAATAAAAGTGCCTGCGAGAGGGAAACGAAGAGGGAGGGAAAGGAGGGGGGAGGAGGGAAATGAGGAGAGAGGAGGAAGGGAGGAAAAGGACCTTCGAGGCACAGGGAACGGGGTGCCCAGGCCACGTGCCCCTCATGGGGTGGTGGACGCAGTGATGGGAGAAGCTGCAGGAGGTGGCTGGGAGGCGGGGAGCGGCCAGGCGGCCTCGAATGCCGGGCCCAGGGGCCCAGGATCCGCTCCCTGTCTCTCCGCTGGGCACTGAGTGGCCTCTTCCCCCTCCACCCACGTGGGGCGCCACCACGGGGTCACCCCCCGCCGCCCCCTCCGCCTCCCACCTACCGGCCGCCCACGGAGAAGTCGGAGATGGCGTAGTAGTAGGACTGCAGCACCTTGGGGTCCTTGAAGATGTCGTCCCCGAACGTGTTGAGCCGGTCCAGGGAGATGAGGAGCTCGGTGCTGGTGACCCACTCCTGGGGCGCAGGGAAGGCCTCCGTCAGCGGGAGCCCCGCTGGCCGCCCAGACTCCGGGACACACGGACAGGCCATGCTCAGCTCAGACACACGAACAGGTCCCGCTGGCCGCCCGGTCTCCGGGACACACGGTCAGGCCACGCTCAGCTCAGACACACGGACAGGTCCCGCTGGCCGCCCGGTCTCCGGGACACATGGACAGTCCACACTCAGACACATGGACAGGTCCCGCTGGCCACCCTGGTCTCCGGGACACACGGACAGGCCACGCTCAGACGCGTTCCAAGCACGCTGCCGAAGCCGGGAGCCTGCGTGCCGGGCCCTGCCGACCTGGGTGGCAGGCCCGTGCCTGGCTGTGCAGCTCTGGGAAGTTCCTGAGTGTCCTGGCCCAGCCATGTCCCCATCGGTGACACGGACCAAGGAACAGCCCCGGCCCAAAGGAGCTGGGAGGACGGCCGATGTCAGCAGCGGGTGTGGGGTCTGGTCACCCGACTCCTCCCAGTGGCTCCTGCACCCCCTTCTAGAGGTCGGCTGGGGGAGGACATGCCCCAGCACCCTGCTCAGCGAGGCCTGGCGTGGGGCAGGCCCTCGGCTTATAGGGCATCACATGCCAAAGAACCAGGTCAGGGTTCAATTCCCGCTCAGGGCACAGGCCTGGGTTGCGGGCTCAGTCCCAGTGTAGAGCATGTAGGAGGCGGCCGATCACTGATTCTCTCTCATCATTGATGTTTGTCTCTCTTTCTCTCTCTCCCTTCCTCTCTGAAATCAATAAAAATGCACTGATTGGCCAGATTATTATGATCTCTGAACACATAATAATCTGGCCACTCAGTGTGTGTGTGTGTGTGTGTGTGTGTGTATTTATAAGAGGCCTGGTGCATGAATTTGTGCATGGGTGGGGTCCAGCCAGCCTGGCCAGGGGGAGGGGACATGGGCATTTGGCTGGCCTGCCTGCTGGTCAAACTCCTGGTCGAGGGGACAATTTGCATATTAGCCTTTTATTCTATAGGAGGTACACTGAGTGGCCGGATTATTAAGATCATCATAAACAGGCCACTCAGTGTGTATATGTTTTTAAAAGATCAGGCTTCCACAGACAAGTCACCTGTCCCAGGCGCTGTCTGTCCCACCCAAACACCCCCCCCCACACACAAACACACACAGAAGCAGGGCTGGGGCCCCTTTCCTCGCTGCAGCCCGGCCCCGGGCCCCGCCCACGCAGCGAGCACGCCATCAACACGGGATGAGCGCTTCCCCCAGGAGCTGGCGGGAGAACACGTGGAGGCTGGCATTCCATCGCCTGCTGTTTGTGACAATCGGGTCTCCTCGGCTGAGTTTTAATTGGCATTTAATTCGGCACAAGAGCTCCCGGTGCCGCCGCAGCCGGCGCGTTCGGGCAGGAAAGGAGCTCCTGGCAAGGCCTGTCTTCTCGCCCAGCAGGGCTCAGGCCAGCGGCCTCTGCGCTCCCTGAGCTCCGCCACCGGCGAGCCCGCCGCCTGGCAGCCAGGGCCGCTGCCCAGGAGGCCTCAGCGGGGAGGAGGGGCCCAGCCCCGGGAGCTCAGCGGCACCCAGCGGAGTGTGTGTGCACGTCCCTGTCTCCCGAATCACTTCTCACTGTCCCTGGTGCGTCAGGGGTCTGGTTAGAAGGTGCCTCTTGCCCTAGCTGGTGTGGCTCAGTGGATAGAGCATCAGCCTGTGGACTGAAGGGTTCCCAGGTTCGATTCCGGCCAAGGGCACATGCCTGGATTGCAGGCTTGATCCCCAGTAAGGGGCATGCAGGAGGCAGCCGATCAATGATTCTCTCTCATCATTGATGCTTCTTACCTCTCTCCCTCTTCCTTCCTCTCTAAAATCAATAAAAATATATTAAAAAGAAGAAAAAAAGAGAGAAAGAAAGAAAGGAAGTAAGGAAGAAAAGAAAGGAAGAAAGAAAGAAAGTAAGTCTCCTAGCCGAAACCGGTTTGGCTCAGTGAGTAGAGCATCAGCCTGCGGACTAAAAGGTCCTGGGTTCGATTCCGGTCAAGGGCACGTACATTGGTTGCGGGCACATCCCCAGTAAGGGGTGTGCAAGAGGCAACTGATCGATGTTTCTCTCTCATCGATGTTTCTAACTCTCTATCCCTCTCTCTTCCTCTCTGTAAAAAATCAATAAAATATATTAAAAGAAAGAAAGAAAGAAAGAAAGAAAGAAAGTCTCTTGATTCAGAAGCCGGGTGGGCCTGAGACTCTGCATTTCTAACGGGGGGAGGGGAGGTGGGTACTGGCTCGGGGCCACCCAGGCAGCTTGTGAGTGGGGCCTGTTCTGAGGCAGGAGAGCCAGGAGCTGGGAAGATGCCTGGGCGCATGGTGGAGTGGGAAACAGAGGAGATAAGGAAAGGATTTGAACAGCGTACAGCTGTGAATCTCACGGCCTTCTGCTCCCGGCCAAGGACAGAGCACAGGGTCCCCCCGCCCCGCCCTGCGCAGGGAACAGACTCCGGCACCTGGTCCGGAGCTGGAGAACAGAAACCCCGTAATGCCCTTGGCGCCGGCCGGACCGAGGGTCGATGGAGTCAGGGGACAGGTAACAAACCTGATGGAGCCAGGCGGACCCAGATGCAGAGCAGCAGGAAGCCGACCAGAGAGCAGCCCGCTCGCCCCCTGCGCTCACGCTGACGCGTCCGCAGGTCAAAACGCACCTGGAAAGCTGGTGGCTTCCTGCTGAGACCCTCCCTCAGATTCTCACCACAGACCAGCGATAAAGCCTCCAGGACAAAGGAGACCAGGCCGGCTTGCTCGACAGCACGCCCAAGCCTTTTCTCAGCCGGAACTTTTAACGCTCCTTCTCCTCAATGCTAAGGATCCCCACGAGACTCGCAACCAGGGGAGCAGCGGGCAGCGCAGCTCATCCCCGGCCAAACCCCGATCCTGCCTCCGAGGCCCCCTTTCTCTCTGACTGCCCCGTGGCTGACAGCAGCCCCGTGGACCCACACACTGTACTGGCTGGCCCATGGCAGACCTGCTCTGGGCCCTGTTCCCTTTCCAGTGACATCAGTCCCCCCATTTCACAGATGAGGAGACTGAGGCTCAGAGAGGGTTCGCATTCTGCTTCACGTTGCACAGCGGGTACACAGCAGAGCTGGGGTTTGGGTCTGAACTTTAACCACGGGGCAGCCTGTCCTCTTGCATCTGCCCCAACGCCCTCATCACACCAGGGGGCCCAGAGGGCAACGACCTGCCCCCCACCCACCATCCCCATTTCCAGCCGCACGACCTCCGGGTTCCTGCTGTGGCTTGTGGCCCGCGGCCTGCTCCCTCCGGCTGCTAAGATAACAGGAACCGTGTCCAAATCTCCCCGAGACTCTGGGGCAGGAGGTGGGAGAGAGGCAGGACTTCCTGCGTGGGGCCCTCCCTGAGGCCTCGGGGTCGTTTAGGGCACACCGGGGCCCCAGCTGCACCGGCCACGGGCTTCTGCATCTTCTGATCACGTCAGCTAAAGCTGTGAGTGGGGACGCGGTTGGAGAGGGGGCTCCGGTGACTCCGGACAGACCCCGGTCCGGAGTGCGGGGCAGAGGAGGTCAAGATCGGTGAGCGACTGTGGCTTTTAGCTTCCCGCTCTTAGCCCAGACCCAACCTCCTTCCTGGACCCCCAGCCTCCCCCCCAGCCCAGCCCCCCTGCCCCCCCCTCCCCCGGACCTGCAGCGCGGGGCTCTCCTCGAAGTGGTAGGCGCTGGGCCGGCCCTCCAGCGTGGAGAAGGCCACGTTGCCGCCGCTCAGCGGGGAGATGTCACTGAACTCGGAGGTGCAGAAGGCCACGCGCTCCTCCTGGCCCGGCCGCAGGTGCAGGCCGTCCGGCCGGCCGTAGGTCCGCCCGCAGGAGGCGCTGTAGAACTGGTAGGGCTCCCAGGGGCCGCCCGCCTGGCTGCGCTTGTAGATGGCGAAGCTCTCGGGGCGGCTGGTGTGGAACTTGAGGCGCACGTAGGAGATCTCGTACGCTTTCCCTGCGGGAGACACCCAGCCTTCAGCCAGCCCCCCGGGCCGCTGCGTCCCCCCCGGGTCTCCGCCCTGCCCCGCACCACGGGCTTCCCCCACCCCGTCCGCCCCCACCCCCCCAGCCCCGAGGAAAGAGCGAAACTCAGAACTCGAAGCAGGGTTTCCACTCCTCGCGTACGATCTCGTTCGCACCATCGAGAAGCTGTAAGTCAAGCCACCAAAAGTCAGGGGCCGGCTGTACCCACACACGCTACACCATGGGTGGACCTTGACAACATTGTGACAAATGAAAGAAGCTAACGAAAGGCGACCTGTTACATACGGTGCCACTTGAATTAACAGTCTCAGGTGGGCAAGTCCATGGAGTCAGCGCGGAGATTGGTGGGGGTCACATGCTGGGGGGGAGGGCCTGGGTGGGGTGATGTGAGTGGGACCAGGGTTTCTTTTCGGGGGGATGAAAAATTTCAAATTGGCTCCTGGTGATGGGGACACAACCCTGCAGGTACACCGAGAGCCACGGAGTGGAGCCCTTCAAATGGGTGAATTACACGGCGGATTCGCTCTGTCTCCATAACGCGGTCACCTAGTTTTATAAACGGGACCTCCCATCCATTGGGATGGTTACCATTTTATTTTAAAAAGGTAATACGTGCCAAAACCGGTTTGGCTCAGTGGATAGAGCGTTGGCCTGTGGACTGAAGGCATGTACATGGGTTGCAGGCATATCCCCAGTGGGGGGTGTGCAGGAGGCAGCTGAGTCGATATCTCTCTCTCATCGATGTTTCTAACTATCTGTCCCCCTCTCTTCCTCTCTGTGAAAAATCAATAAAATATATTTTTAAAAAATAAAAAATAAATAAAAAGGTAATACGTGCTGGTGAGGATGTGGAAAAACTGGAACCCCGGGCACTCTCATGGGAACGTAAAATGGTACATTTGCAAAGCAAACGTCTGGTAGTTTATCAAAAACGTTCAAACAGCCAAAACCGGTTTGGCTCAGTGGTAGAGCGTCGGTCTGCGGACTGAAAGGTCCCAGGTTCGATTCCGGTCAAGGGCATGTATCTTGGTTGCGGGCACATCCCCAGTGGGGGGTATGCAAGAGGCAGCTGATCGGTGATTCTCTCTCATTGATGTTTCTGACTCTATCCCTCTCTCTTCCTCTCTGTAAAAAAAATCAATAAAATATATTTAAAAAAAAAAAAAAGTTCAAAGAGAAAGATCTGGCAATTCCCCTTCCGGGTCTCCGTCTGAATGAGCCGAGGCCGGGCCCCGAGAGCCGCTGGCACACCCACGCTCACAGCCGCCTCGCTCGCACAACCCGTGTCCGTCCACAGAGGACGGACCCACAGACCGTGGTCCCTCCGCCCCACCGGCTGCCCACGGCTCAGCTTCATAAAGCAGGGACGTGCGGACACCTGCTTCTGTAGGAATGAGCCCGAGGACAGACGCCGAGGGAAACCAGCCAGTGCCCAGCGCCACATGCTGCCGTCTCCCTGAGGTCCCCATGGGGCCCACCGCCAGGGGCAGGAGGAGGCGGCGGTGCCAGGGGCAGGGGAGGGCCTGGGAGCGAGCGTTCGGAGGGACAGAGTCTCTGCGTGGGGGGACGAGGAGGGTCCGTGGATGGACGGCGGTGACGGCTGCACAGCCATGTGAGTGCTTTTTTCCGTGTGTGTTTGTGTGTTTGTTGTTGTCCTCACCCAAAGATGTTTTCCCACTGACTTTTAGAGAGAGTGGGAGGGAGGGACAGAGAGAGAGAAACATCGATGTGAGCGAGACACATCCACTGGCTGTCTCCCACACGTGCCCCGACCAGGGCTAAGAATGGAGCCTGCAACAGAGTCCGTGCCCTTGACCGGAATCGAACCCGGGACCCTTCAGTCCTCAGGCCGACACTCTATCCACTGGGCCAAACTGGCTAGGACTGAATGCCCTTTTTTTTTTTTTTTTTTTTTTTTTTTTTTTTTTTTTAACATATTTTATTGATTTTTTACAGAGAGGAAGAGAGAGAGATAGAGAGCTAGAAACATCGATGTGAGAGAAACATCGACCAGCTGCTTCCTGCACACCCCCTACCAGAAATGTGCCCGCAACCAACGTGCATGCCCTTGACCGAAATCGAACCCCGGACCCTTCAGTCCGCAGGCCGACGCTCTATCCACTGAGCCAAACCGGTTTCGGCTGAATGCTCTTTTCTTAATGGCACTCACCTGGGCGCTTAAAATTGGCTAAGATGGCAAATTTCATGTGACACATTTTTAACCTCAATGAAAGAAAAACTGCAATATCTATATCTATCTACCCTGTGCTTGTATATATCCCAACCCTCTGGAATGCAGTTTGGTGACACGGATGGAGAGCCGTAGCAATGTCCCTGGCCTTTGGCACGGGAGCCCCGGCTCCGGGAATCCACACACGGAAAGACACCTCAGTGCACGGACACGGTCGCCAAGGGGGACGCCAGACCCACCAGGGCTCCCTCAATTAGGAAGTCCACTCAGGGGTGACGGCATCTAGTCTAAGGTGACGTCTGGTCACCTTAATCTAGTCCCCAGTGTGCGAGGCATAAGCCAGAACGTGGGGTGACACAGACCCGAGGCTCACCCTTCAGAGTCAGCCAGTCACCCCGCCAAGCCCCGAAGGAAGGGGCAGGAAAGAGGAACATCCACCCGGAGGCCTGACCGTCCCCGGGCAGAGTGGTGTCTTCCCTTCACTGTTCTGCAGTTCCCCGGCTTTCCCCCTGAAGCCTGTTTTAATTTAAAAGCTGGATGAAACACTTTAAAAAAAAATCTTTTCTGAGCGACTGGCTTGCCACGTCCGATGTTGTGCAAAGTTCCGTGGCGCGCAGCTTGGCACCAGAACCCACGGCCCCGGGAAGACGCGATCACGGTCACGGAGCCAAGGTCGGCGGCCTGGGGGCTGTGCGCTCCGGCTCCGTGGGGACGGGGTGTGTGTGTGTGTGTGTGTGTGTGTGTGTCTCCTCCCAGAGGGGCGCGGCCAGACTCCCCGGTAACAGCCGGCAGCCGGAGCCCCTGCAGGGGAGGGAGCGGGAGCCGCTGGGAAGGTAGCTGGCAGCAGATGCCTGATCGTGATCGATCAGAAAAAGACAGTCACCGGGGTTTCGTGCAGACAGCGCCCGCGCTCCCTCCCCCGCGCCCAGCCCGAGGTGAGAGAAGGCGCCGGAACATCACAGAGACGGCGGGCGCTTTCTGTGGCAGGAGATCCTTCGAAGAGGCAAGAAAGCAGCTTAATCCTTGCTTTGTGGTGGGAAGGTTCCCGCCAAAGGCAACCTGGAGGCTGGACCCCCCCTCCCCCGCCCCCCCAACACACACACTAAGGTCTTCTAAGCAGCAACAAGAATTAAATTTAATTAAATTCCCTTCCAAGCCCCGGGGGCCGATGGCGCTTCAGGGTGAGGTGGATTCCATGTCAGCCCCAGATCTAAACGGGCCACACTGTGTGGCAGAGCACGGATCTGGCTCCCCCCCACCCCCCAGCTGCCCAGAATGCTGCTCCCTCCACTCCTCACCCAGCGGCTCCCACACGTGCCTGCTCACCCCACCGGTTTAGGCTCCGCCGGGTGTAGGATGCCCTCCTCCCACGTGCTTTCCTGGCTGAGGGCTCCTCATCCTTGAGGGCACCAGCCCCCCCCAGCCCCCCTGGACTCCCGCACCCTGTTCTGGAAACACCTGCCTGTGTCTCCCACTAGGCTCGGACCCCCTGGGACCGGTGCTGTGAGTCCTTGGTGCTGAGCGGGCGCCTGGCGCAGAGTAGGCCCTCACTAGATGCTCGCCGGCCGCGTGAGGAAGGACGAAGCACGATTTGTACTTTCAATGAGTTTCTGACCCAGTGGCCACGCTGAGACGGCAGGCCCCCAGCATGGCTGACGCGGCCGCAGTGTGTCTGCAGGCCCTGACCCCACAGCCAGCATTCAGGGAGCCCCTGCTATGTGCCAGGCGCCTCGCTCAGCGCCACTCCCTGTATCCTGAGAGACGTCCCCCAGCAGTGCTGTCGCTGTGCACGTCTTACTGAGGGGGGACTTCCCCACCATCACGCAGGAAACAGCTGCGCCTGGTCAGCGGCAGGCCTGTCTGGCCACAGAGCCGCTGCTCGGAGCCGGCGCCCCTCTGTCCGGTCGCCTGGGAGGGAAGGGGGTGCTGTGCCCACGAGGATGCCCCCACGCCGGCTCCCGGAGTCACGTCCTCTCCCGGGGCTGGGACACGGGGCCCGGCCTGGGCGACAGCGGGGCAGTCCGTCCTGGAGCCGGGCCGGCCCACATCCGGCCGCCAGGCAGGGCCGGGCAGAGGAGCCCCGCACAGGGAGGCTTATTTTGGGAAAATGGAAACAAAACAAAGGCCTCTAATTGGAGCCATCTGGGGAGCACGGCCGGGGTGGGGCTGGAGGGGGCAGGGCGGGGAGCCGGGCTGGGAGTGCGTGGGTGAGGCTGCCCGCCCGCCCGCCTGCCCGCCCGCCTCGGGCATTAGAACCAGGTGGAGAGGGCTGCCGACGGCGACAGGGCGGGCACAGCACGGCCCTCAGCTCTCCCATCCGCTGCCACGGCTCCCGTCCTCTCTCCGCCCTCTCTCCGCCCTGGCTCTGGGCAGGTGAGGTGATGGGGAGCCCCTGTGACCACAGTGCCAGGCACCCGGAGAGCTGGGCCCGTCACACTCCTCTCGTCTTTGGGCGGAGAATCTAAACCCCAGACGTGGATCCAGAGTGTCAAGCCTACTGTCTAACCCGGAGAGAGTGAACAGACCTCATCTGACACTGGGCCTGGTGCATGGAAATTCATGCACTGGAGGGGGGTCCCTCAGCCCGGCCTGCCCCGTCTCACAGGGGGAGCCCTCGGGAGCAGGAGGTGAGCCAGCGATCAGGGGAAGGCGACGCCCCATCACACTCTGCTGCTGCCACTGCCGGCAGCACAAGCCTCGGCCGGCCCTGGTTACCTGAGCCGATCACTCACCCATGTTCACTCACTCCCTGTTCCCAGGAACAGTGCCGCGGGGCCATGCTGGGGCCCATATCTCAGCTCCACCACTGACCAGCTCGGTGGCCTTGGCCACTTCCCTAACCTCCCCCCGATTAACCGGGCAAGCCACTTGATGGTGACTCAAGTTACAACGTGCCTAACAATAACAATAAGTACATGCCTGCAAAGCCCGCAGAACAGTCCCAGGCCAGTCCCAGGCCCATGATCAAACGTTAGCTGTTAACCATTCATTGGCCAGGCCAACATTCACAGGGCACCGCTGTGTGGGGGGCATTCCCTCCACAGCTCGGAGCGTGACCGACACACAGAAACCCGAACCACCATGCAGCACAGTCCTGACGGCGACGGGAAGGGCGAGGGGCTGCGGGAACGCACAGCCTGGCCCTCTGCCCAGTCCAGGGGGGCTTCCTGGAGGAGGTCACCCCTGAAGAGGGTGGGGCAGCCAGCACAGCCCACAGTTGCGTCACCGCGGCTTGGTGCAGAGACAGGCACACAGGAGGCCTCACTCGCTGACGAAGGGGATAGAAGTTCTCCGGGAGAAAGCAGGAAGAGACACTACACCGCCAAGTGTGGTCACATCGACAAAGAGCAGGAGAGAGACCCTTCACAGCCCCAAGGAGGGCAGCTGGCTGCAGCCAGAGGGGGTGGGGGTGGGGGCGGGCAGGGGGTCCGGGGTGTCTGCATCCGTCCTGGCCTTCCCCCTCCTGCAGCGCCTGGGTCAGTCCCGGTGGCCGGAGCCGGGTGGGCCCTGGGGTCAAGGGCGAGGGGGGGGGCCTGCTTCTGAGGGGGAGGCGGACCAGGACGCTGTCCTGACCTCCAGACCTGCCTGGGGCCCCGCGTTCCAGCCGGAACCCCAGGGAGCAGGAAGGAGGACTGGCCCCCAGGGCCGGCTCAGCCAACGCAAACAGGCCACCCACTCGACAGGAAGCCTCTCGGAGCCAGAGCTCAGGGACCCAGCTGGCCTCGGCCCCTCCGGGCCTCCCGCGGGCCAGCCCCTCCGAGCGGGGCCGCTGCTGCCCATCAGCCTCTGGCCCCTCGCTGCCCTTCATGCTCAGGCCGCCTCCTGCCATCCCTCAGGTCCCACAGGGCCCGCCACCCTGGTGTGCCCCCAGAGCACTCCCGGCCAGCCCAGCCTGGGGGCCGGACGCCACAGCCCCCCGAGACGCCGGAATGGGGGCGCAGAACAGCCACCTGCACACGGGGAGTGGGGGCCGGCGGGGGTCGGGCAGGCAGGAACACCCCCCCCCCCCCCGCCTTCCTCTGCAGCGCCCCTTCCTGGGGGCTCAGGACTCAGCCGCTCAGAGAACGGAGACTCGAGGGTCTTCCTGTCACTCCTGGGGGTTCCCAGGAATCCAAGCAAGTGGACAGAGACCCCCGCAACCCCGGCCAGACGCAAAGCTGGACCCCCTGGCCTGCAGCTGCCCGGGACCGGTATTATTCCCAGCGCAGGGCAGCGGGGAGGCCCTGGGTCTGCCGTGTGTGGCCGTGTGACCCTGATTGCACCCTCAGCGCCTCAGTTTCCCTGCTATGAAAGGACACATTGTGCTGGGCTTGGGGGGCTGGCTCGGCGGGGTTCTCAGCATGTGGCGAGAGCCCCCCGATTCCTGTCTGTTGCCGCTGATGACCATCCGCCTTCTCCCCACACCCCCACCCGCCACCAGGCCCCAGCCGCCTCTCCCGTGGCCTCAGCCTCTCCCGTGGCCTCGGAGGAGGGCTCGGAGCTGTCAGACCCGCTGTCGCTTTCATCCCCGACGGGAGGGCTCAGCCCAGCCGATCGGACCAGATGTCTGAGCTCCAGGGGCTGGGAAAGCAGCGACCTTCACCGGGGGGCTGGCAGCGGCCCCTCCGCCCGGGCCCCTCCCGTCCCCTTCGCCAGCAGAGGCAGGAGCGGCCACCTCCTGACCACAGGGAGGGCCCGCTGGGAACGCGGTGACACCGCAGACCCCCCCCGCCCCCCCCATGTTACGCAACCACGGCTTCGCCCGGAGCGACGGAGGCCCACGGGACCACAGTGGGCCAGCCCCCCGAGTGTCTCCATCGCTCCGGGGGCCCCGGGGCCTCAGCCCGAGCGGCTCTCCGCAGTGACGGGGGCCGCGCGCAGGGACCCTCACAGCCGCGGGGAGGCCGGCCGGCGCCCTGAGCTCAGGGAGCCCGTGTACGTGCGTGTCCCCGTTTTACAGAGCGGAGACGAGGCACGGAGGGGCGCTGTCTGCCCCCGTGGCTGTGCGGGGCCTGAGCTGTGTGATTTGTACCCTCTTCTGACCCCCGGAAGCACAGACGGAGGAGGTGACATTGTCCTTCATTCATTCATCGTCCATTCATTCATTCATTCATTCATGTGCACTCGCTGCGTGTGGAGCCTCCCATGCTGATGCTGGGTTCCTCAGTGGAAGGACACAGGTGCGGGGTGAGGTTCGCTGGTGTGGGCACCCACGGGGGTGCGTGAGGGTAAGGCCTGGCTCAGTGTGGGGGCTCAGGTCCCCCGGTTCCGAGGGGCTAGGACTCCCCACCACTTAGCGTTGTAGGCAGAGTCCAAGGAGGCCTCAGCCCGAAGCACAGGGCCAGCCCACAGCCAGCACAGGGGAGATGGGGGGAGAGGGGACTGCCCCCAAGCCCAGGCACCGCCCCCCCCCCACCTTGGTGGTGTTGGGCTGAGCCTTCTGCCCGCCCCTGGATTCCGCCGACACATGTAACGCGTCAGCTAAACCCACACGCTCTGTCATGGAACAGCCTGTCTCCCTCACACCTCCCATCCTGTCCCAGATTCCTTCCCTGTGGCCTTGGGGTCCTGCCAGCCCCATCCAGCCACCCCCTCCCCCCTAACCTCCCTCCCCCGTTGGTTTCCTGTCGCCCTGTCTGGGCAGAGACCACGCCCATGTAGAAGTCCCACCTCGAGGGAAGGGGACAAGGCCCAGAGAACGGAGCTTCTTGGGGGTCACAGCCAGCACCCCACACTCTGCTGACGGGCCCAGCACCCCCCCCCCTCACTCAAATGTCACCGCCCCAAGGCACAGCCCCCAGGGCTGGGAAGAGCCTGCTCAGGTCAGACTCTTTGCTCTGACCTTGGATAAATTGCACACAGATGCTCACATCCAGCCTGCACTGAGCAGCTGTGTGACGTTGGGCAAAACACGTAACCTCTCTGAGCCTCACTGTTTCTGTCTGGAAAATGGGGATACAGTCCCATAACCTCCAGACTGCTTGGGCCCAGATGTGTTTTTGCAGTTCCAAACTTTTCCAGAGTTCAGAGAGACAAGCCCGCACTCTGTCCACACTATCCAGCGGGGCCCGGGGCCCAGGCTGCACTCAGAGGAGATTCCGGCAGCAGAATGTGTGAACGTGCACTCTGAGCGGATACACAAGGTCCATAAGCAGCCCCAGGCCGCACTGAGCGGCCACAACACGTTATAAAAAGGTTCTGCGCTCTCAGAGCGTACGGAGGTAAGGAAGTGGGAGCAGTGGAAACACCCGCTCCCCGAAAAGGCTGGGGGGCAGCAGCAGGTCCGACACGGTGTCCCGGATCGGGCTGGGCTCGGAGCGGGAGGGGCACTCCCAATCCCCCAGTGAGGGGGGCCAGACTCCGGGTCCTGGACCCCCGGGATCCAGGCTCGGGCACCTCAGCCGGGTGGGGAGGAGCGGCCGGGCAGAGCGGAGAAGCTGTGCCACCCGGTCCAGCTGCCCACCCGCAGCGTGACGCCGGCTCCTGCCCAGCGGGCTGGACCTTCGGGGATGGGAGCCTCGGCTCCGGCCCCAGGACACCCCGGATGCTCAGCCGCAGGGACTCACCCAGGCCCCAAAGGGGACAGAAGCCCCAAGAGGAGGCTCCTGCCTTAGGGGCAGACCCGTTCACCCCCTCCTCCCCCCATCACCGGGCACCCCGGTGCGCTCCTCTGCAAATGGCTGGGGGGGGGGGCCTTCCTGCCCCTCCAAAGCCCAGGTCCAGGCCTCCAGCCCCAGGTAGCACCCGCCTGTCCTCCCAGCTCCGGGGGCTCCCCAGCTGGGTCTGCACTCAAGCGAGATGCCAGCAGCCCCCACCCAGACCCTGGTTTTCAGCCACCCCAGGGGCGCCATGGGGCGGGACAGGGAGCCCGCTTACCCAGGCGCAGGGTGATGTTGACGGAGGTGGGGTGCTGCACCCCGAAGGCCATGGACGGGCTCTGCCACCAGGTGCTGTCGTCCTGGCTGTGGAAGTCGGTGAGGTAGGAGGCGTTGTGGTGGAGCCGGGGGTCGGCGGCGTCGCAGCGCTGGCACTGCGGCCCGGCGCCGCCCGGCGCGCCCCGGTGCGGGCAGAAGTCCTCGGGGGGCCGCCCGCACGTGTGCGAGGCCTCCGCGAGGCGCCCGAACGCCGCGTTCTCGAACCCGGGCAGGCAGCGCCGCGGCCGCCCCGCGCCGTCGTAACAGGCGCCCATCCCCGCGCCCGTCCCCGCGCCCATGCCCATCCCTGAGCCCGATGCCCGCGGCGCCAGCAGCGCCAGGCCCAGCAGCAGCGCGGCCGCCATGGTCCCCGCACTGGCACCCTGTGCCCTGCGCTGCGCTCCCGTGCGCCCCGCTCCCCGTGCGCCCCGCTCCCCGTGCGCCCCGCTCCCCGTGCGCCCCGCTCCCCGTGCGCCCCGCTCCCCGTGCGCCCGGCTCTGCGGCTCAGCTCCGGGGGCGCGGACCGAACGAGCGGGGCCAAGCCTCCTCCCTGGCGGGCGGGCCCCAGGCCGGGCTGGGAGGGACCGACGGCGGGACAGCAGCGCTCAGCCCCTGGGCGCTGACCCCACCTGGCGGCCGCTCCCGGGAGTGCCCGACTCCGGAGCGGCCCCATGGCCCTTCCCTGGCCCTGGCCCTGGCCCTGGGTGGGGAAGTGGGGGGCGGGGGATCCCCTAGCCTCGAGCTCCGTCAGGGTACAGCTTCGTTATCGCTGTTGTGTTCCAAAGGAAAACTGCGCACCTGTGCCAGGCTGGTCCTGAGAGAAGGGGAGCTCAGGGTCTCCCCTTGTACCCCCCACTTTCTGGCAGGAAGTGGGATGGTGCCTCTGAGAAGTGCTTCTGCCGCTGGTCCCGCTCTGCTCTCCAAGGAGAGGTTCCAGCCTGACGTTGGTGACCGCAGCAGGTACGTGGTCCATCACAAGCATCGCCCAGAGGCCCTCCCAGTCCCGGCCTCTTGTCTCCCGTCAGTAACGTCAGTAAATCAGAGAGAAGCCTCTGTTCTTACCGAGAGACGCTGGAGAGACACTAGAGAGGAGTTAGCAGAGATTTCCGTGGAGAGCTGACAGGATGCGGCAGGAAGTGGTCCAGGGAGGTCCTGGGGTGCAGGGAGGGGGCTGCTAGCTCTGCCCGGAGTGGAGGGTGCTGCCCAGAGGAGGGGACAGGTAAACGGAGTCTTCAGGGGGAGCAGGGAAAGGGCCCTTGGGCAGGAGCGCGGTGTGTGCAGAGGCCCAGCGCTGAGGGTGGTGAGCAGGTCATCGTGTGTGCCGGCCCGGTGGGGCGCCGTCCGGAGGGTGAGGCGGGAGCAGGGTGCAGAGGCCGGTGCTGGGGTGCTGGGCGCCGTGGTGATGAGCTGGGGCTGTGTCCTGCAGGGGCCTGCAGGGGCTGAGGGCTGTGAGTTCGTGGTGGGCAGGGACCTCTGGAGTCGCTCACTCGGGGAATGTTTGGGAAATACGCAGGAGTCCTGTGGCTGGCCAAGGCTGGTCCGAGGGGCTGGGCCGGAGACCACGGCTCTTCACGAGGTTCCAGCTGGGTGCTCGCCGCCCCTGCCCCGCTCCTGGCAGCAGCCCTGGAGGGGACCATCCTGCCTCTGCTGTCCACCCCTCTTCCCCGCCTGGTAGTCCGGGATCTGCTAGAGGCGCGCCCAGTCCAGCTGTAAATGTTCATCCGGGATCCACCACCAGGTGGCGACATTGGCCACACTACAGGGCTGGCCCTCCCGCCCCCTGCCGCCCAAGGACACCTGGGCCATCCCTGCACAGCTGCGGTACCTGAGACCGGGAGAGTCTTTGGGTCCAGGCCCGTGGTCGGCAAATTGTGGCTCTCGAGCCACATGTGGCTCTTTGGCCCCTTGAGTGTGGCTCTTCCACAAAATACCACGGCCTGTGGGGGTCTATTCTGAAGAAGTGGTGTTAGAAGAAGTTTAAAAAATGTGGCTCTCAAAGGAAATGTCAGTCGTTGTGCTGTTGATATTTGGCTCTTGACTCATGAGTTTGCCGGCCACGGGCCTAACCCACTGTCCTTGTGGTGGAGGGAGGCCGGAAAGGCTGGAGCAACAGAGCCCATGTTCGTTTCCTTCAGGAAGAGGGTGGGGTGCAACCCAGGGGGCCAGCATGGAGGCGGCGTGGGAGGAGGGGCCGGTGTCTGTGAGTGGCTGATGGGGCCTGTGCCTCCACGGGGACCGGAGAGTCGTCGGGAGGCTTGGCCTCCGGCTCGGGCTGCGAGCCAAGGCGGCGTCCCTCCTCCTGCAGTCCCTCGCCGAGGGCTGAAACCGGCTCGGAGAGGAGAGCAGGGAGAAAGCTGCTCTGTTTGCTGCGTGAACGGTGATTAAGGAGACAGAAGACAGCGGACTTTTTCCAGGCAGAGATGAAAGGCCTGCTAATTAAATCTGGGGAGATCGGGCCCCGGCCCTGCTGGTCCCACCTGACAGCTCCGCAGCCTCCCTGGAGTCCCGCGGGGTGTGTGTGTGTGTGTGCGTGTGCCGCCCCCGGCCTGGGGCCCCACCCTGGAGGCCCGGGAAGGAGCCCGCTGGCACCCCATGGGCCCTGCCCTCTGGGACACCTTACTTCCCCATCTGGACAGCACGAGGTTTCCTCTGGTCTAGGTCAGTGGTGGGCAAACTGCGGCTCGCGAGCCACAGGTGGCTTTTTGGCCCCTTGAGATTTTAGCAAAGGCCAGCTTAGGAGGACCCTAATGAAGTGAGTAACAATGTACCTACCTATATAGTTTAAGTTTAAAAAATGTGGCTCTCAAAAGAAATTTTGATCGTCCTGTTGATATTTGGCTCTGTGGACTAATGAGTTTGCCGACTTCTGGCCTAGGTGGTTCCTCAAGATTCCTGTCTGGCTCCAGGGCTCTGTACGTTTGCATGCCTGGGCCTCAGTCTTCCCTTCTGTCAAGTGGGGAGACTCCACCTGCTCAGGGACAGGCAGGCAGAGGAGGAAGTCAGATCGGGAGTCTTCCGAGGCTGTGGAGAACTGTGGGAGAGGGGACCCAGTGGCTGGCTACCCATGGCCCCCCTATAGCCAGCCCAAGCCCCTCTGTCTGCTCTGTGACGACCCTGCCGTCCTGACCCTCTAGCAAGGACAATGTGGCCATCACACAGGCTGCCTGGGGGCCAGGCCTGGGCTGAGTGCACCGTCTGCACAAGTGAGTGCAGTCGGGGAAACTGAGGCAGGCTCGTGCCCAAGGCCACCTGCTCGTCAGCAGCAGAGCCGGGATTCACACCCCGGGGTGCCTGGCCGGAGCCTCCGCTCCTTTCCACTTCGTTCTCGTCTCCTTCCTGCCCTCCTCCAGGGAGCACCTGCTCTGGGTGGCGCTGTGCTGGGCACGGGGGTTGGCACGGCATGGGCCGTGGGTAGTCCTCCTCCTCATGGGACCTACCCAGAGACCCAGGGAGACAGACGGGGACCCAGGAAACCAGCTGGTGAGTTAGGAGGTGACGGGTCATCTTAGGGGCCACAGAGGAAGTGGATCCGGCTGGGCAGTCAGGGGAGGCTTCTCGGAGGAGGTGACAGCTCAGGGGAGACACATAAGATGGAACGGGAGGCCGGGCGGAGAGGGGGCTGACGGGGGCTCCTCTGCTGTCGTCCACATGTCAGAGCGTCTTCTCCCGGGCGAGGGGGGAACCGGCTCCTGTGGGCTCTCCTCGGGGTGCTGGCCCTTTAAAGGGGTGAAGGTCAAGGGCAGAGGAGCTGGCAAGCCCAGGCTGGGGATAACCGGCAGGTGGGCGCGCCCTCCCCTCCTGGCTCCCGCTGGAAACGGTGAACTTTACAAATGTCAGGGAGGCGGCTCAGCCCGGCCCCGTGGAGCCATTAGCTCCCGGCGCCCGCTCTGCGGGGGGGTGGGGGTAGGGTGGGGGTTGGGGGGGGGGGGGGGGGGGGGGAGTGACGCCGCCCGCTCTGCCGGGGAGGAGAGTGACGCCGCCCGCTGGGCCCGGGTGGGGGGGGGGCCCGGAAAACAAACAGTGCGGCTCCAAACCTGTGCCCCCCAGGAGGGAGGGGGTGCCAAGGGGAAACCGGAGGGCAGGGGAGTGGAGAGAGACCCCCACAGGGGGAGAGCCAGGGGCGTGGGGTGGGGCAGGAGGACCCCTCTTTGCCGCTCCCTTGGAGGGGTGACCCCGCATGCCCCCCCACATTGGGGCCGGCCCTGTCCCTACCTCTGACTACAAAGTCACCCAGATTTCTCCTCCAGCAATCCTGCTGGGGAGAGGGCCTTAGCCCCACGCTGCAGATGGGGAAACTGAGGCTCGGGGAAGCAAAGGAACCTGCCCATAGTGACATGGCTGAGCAGGGCCAGGCAGGGTTGAACCAGTTCGCTCTGATTTTCTTAGCGGCTCCCGGCCCTGCCCTCCCTCACCGCCTGCTTCCTGGATCAAGCACGTCCGGGATGTCCACAGCAGTCCGTGGCATTCCCTCTGCAAGCACACGGGGAGGGGGGCGCAGGCCATGGCACATGTACACACACACGCACACACACACACGCACACGCACACACACACACACACAGAGACCAGCGGGCTCCACGGCTCACTCTGCCCCGTGGCCAGCAGGGCCCAGCAGGGCCCCGTCTCTGCAATGGGGACCGGCGCCCAAGTCACCTCCACACGTCAGGGTCGTCACGTGCGGGCGCTGTCGGGCTTCTTCCTGGATGTGTGTGATGTGTGGGTGTTGTACGTGTGTGCAAGTGTGTGGTATGTGATGTGTGCGCATGTGTTCGGTGTTTGCGCATGCATGTATGGTGTGTCTGTGTGCCGTGCATGCATGTGTGGCTGCATGCATGCAGGTGGTGGGTGGTGTGTGCATGTGGGTGGTGTGCCATGCATGTGCATGTGTGTGGGATGTAGGTGGTATGCAGTGTGTTGCATGTGTTGGGGTGTGGCATGTACATGTGTGGTGGTGTGCATGTGTGGCAGAACCAGGCTGGGCACGGTCTAGAACTCTCCTCAGACTGGAGATTGAGGGAGGCAGCCTTGGGGGAGCGGAGGGAGGAACACACAGGGGATCTGAGGGGAGGGAGGCCCGGGCAGGCCCTGGAGCCTGGAGCAGCTGCAGGGCCACCGTAGGTGCCATGGGTGGGCCCAGCCGGCGGCCTGCGGGCCCAGCCACCCCGGACAGGGAGACACAGACGGGGGAGGCCCCGGGGGTGGGAGCTTGAAGCCAGCCTCTCAGGCACATCCCCCAGGGCACAGGGGGTGCTGTGGGTCCAAGTGGAGGGGCACGGGGATCTGCATGAAGTGGAGGCCCTGCATGGCCACGGAGGGCGGCCTGGGAGCCGGCCCCACGGCCTCCAGCTGTGTCCCCCCCCCACGGCCTCCAGCTGTGTCCCCCCACGGCCTCCAGCTGTGTCCCCCCCCC